TCGTGAAATGTCGTATGGACCACAGTCGCGATAATTATTGGCTGGTTGGTTATAGTTTGTGAGTCGGGTCAATAAGAAGACGAGTACCAATGGATGGTTGGATTGTTGTAGCTTAAGGAGGATAAGCGTTAGTTGGCTATTATGCTCTGCCCCTAAATTATGGGTTTTACCGCATGTTGTTCGGGATGATGTCTGAGGTTTCGCTACACAGACAGAATTCAGTTAATGAAGGTAGTCTGATCCTGCGTAATCTGTTGATTACCAAAGGCAGATCAGCCTCAGCGAGGCCTGTGGTATCCATAACCACGGGGAAAGGAGTCTCTACAGCCAGGCAGGTGTCATGTTCCGTCAACCAACCACAACCAACACCAGTGGCATCAACAGCTGCTGACCATGATGACATCTCGATCTTGCCGAGAAAGGTGCCTCTGCCTTTATATATACCAGGGGTCGGCAACCAAAATAACAAGAAGAGCCATTTCTTTCCAATTCGGTACAAAATTCAGTATTTCAAGAGCCGCAATGCATCTGAGTACATACGTACATACGTACATATCGTCAAGAAGCAGCCCGTAAAGAGCCGCATGCGGCTCCGGAGCCGTAGGTTGCCGACCCCTGATATATACACACGCCGTGACAAACGTTGATCAAGTCAAACGATCCCAAACACGTTCATCCGTCGAGCGTCGCGCCGTGCTCTGGCATGACGGGTAGTCAATACGCCCACACAGTGCATTGTGATGGCGAGCAGTGAAGGGGTTAATTAAGTGAGAGAGGAGGGGGGGGGCGATCGCAAAGGCTTCTGGCTGTCGCCTCGGCTGACCTTGTCTTTGCGGTTGGGTGGGCGGGCTGGCGGGGGCAGGCGCCGATAACAAAGGGGGGGGGGGGGTTGGTTTCTTAGCGCCACCGGAGCAAGCTTGACACAACTTGCCCCGTCGTCTCGCTCGCTCTCCGAGTGTAAAGCTGTCCGCTAATAAGACTTGAGAAATAAGCTCCTAAAAGGGATTTCAAGTGAAGTGGGTCGGTTATCTGTGTCATTCTTAATTAGGTTTCCCCGCCTTTCTCCGTTGCTTCACAATGGAATGGGGGGGGGGGAGAGATTTAATTAAATGCGAAAGAGCTGATTGTGGTGGTGCTGCTTATTTTTAACCTTCACCGTTTCCTAGATTCCTTTTGTGAGCAATTGAGCATTTGGGGGCAGCGAGCGGTGAGAAACACGCGAGCGCGCGTCCTATACTCGAAGTGCATTCAGCATTTTCCGCGGAGCGCGTGGTTATTGTAAATAGAGCTGTGCGATTGTGTTCGCTGCATGTATGTGGTTTGCGTTTGCGTGTGCGTGTGTGTATTTGGAGAGGCGACAGTGGTTGGCATACTGTGCCGACTGTGCGAATTCGGTGACCCGAAGTTGTTTAAACCCGCTGTGAGCGCCTACTCTCTAGGCCTTCCCTGAGTCAACTGCGTTTGTGATGGTTTTGTGCGTATTCCCAGTGCTGATGCGCCGGGGTGAGACAGAGCAACCAGGCATAGTTGCTACAACACCCCCCAATGTACTCTGCGCCAATTTAAACAAGCGCTTAGTATTACAACATTCACGCAAACAGTTTATAAGGTTTCATTGGAACGGTGTAGGGGGATGGGGGGTTATTTGTAGTTTTGTTGTTTTTCTTGCGTGTGATTGGTGTTTGGGGAGCGGTGGCATAGTGGTTAGCACAATGTGCTAAGAACCCAGTGTCATGGTTTTGAATCCCAACCATGGACAACATCAGTGCCGAGTGGTATCTGAGCTCGTTCTGGACCCTCCCCTACGTCAACTCGGCCTCACCCGAGTGTAAGCATCAACACTGGGGAGATAAAGGCTGCTGGAGGTGGTACTGGCCACTTCACCCCATCGTTCACCACCGCTGGCTTTGACAGGTGCTCGCTAAACCCCGCGGCCTGTGCAGGCGATACCGGAGGTCTTTGTGTGGTGTGCGCGTGCAAGCAAGCGGGTGCGTGTGTGTGTATGTGTGTGAATGCGTTCTGTCGTGTGTTAGCATGTGCTGCGTGCGGCGTACGTGTCGGCGCACAACATATGTGAAAACAATGCCTGTGTAATGAGGCCTCGGCACTGTGTCCCCCAGTCTGTTTGCATAATGAAGTCACTTTCTTTCTCGCAGAAATGAATAGACCACGGCAGTTGTGATTGCACATTCTTAAATCATTCATGAGCGCATTAGCCCGCAGTGACAGCAACCCTCCATACACAGCGGCTCGCGCAGAGAATTTCATTTTGGTGGGAGCCGTGCATAATTTTTCTCGAGGCGCAGCAACGCCTCTCTGGAGCCATCTCTCTCTCTCTTAATCCAGCGCTTTGGGAGGCGAGGGGGCCGGTGGATAAGGCACGGACGTGCGGGGCCCTTGTGGCAATGTTTTGCCTGATGAGGCCCCCCCCCTCACGCCACGCGGGCAGTGGCGGTTATTGGCCGTGCTGCTCCACGTTAGTTAGTGCTGGGCTGGTTGACGAAGGCGAGGGAGGGGAGGGAGGTGCATTTTGCCGCACTGCCCTCTGTTGCCCACGATCGAGTAAAGAAATAGGTGCCACGGTGGTGGGATGTTAACTACCTCGCCTGGTATACAGGGGGTCCTAGGTTCGATCACCACCCTGACACTTGTATATTTGGAGTTTGCACGTTCTCCCCGTGGTCGTGTAGATTTTTCTACGGCTCCTTGGGGTTTTCCCTCATTTAGAAACATGTGTTTAGAGTATTTGGTTGCTCTAAATGTCCACACGTTAAGCCACTTCGTTGAGCTCTTATTTGTTCCCAGCTTCTGAAAAAGAGCTATATTGCTCAGTGGGCCTTACATGGTGAAATAAAACTATTTTTTTCATTTCAAAGCGCACAGCAGCCCACAAATATTTTGTGCGTTTTAAAATCTTGCATTCAAGCACTGTTCAGGCTCAACGCTGCTTAACCTTGGAGATCTAATGAGATCGGGGGCATTTCCGGGGCGATTTGGTCAGAGGCGATGGATAACTCAAATTTGTGAATATTCAAAACTTGCCTAGTTGCAATGTTTTTGTTAGGAAATGGCACTACAACAAGGATGTTCTTGGTCCTCTCTTGCAGACCTTTCAATGCTCCCCTCTTGTCCTGCATCCTGGGTTTTCTTGAGGTGATGCACTTTTCCTAAAGTGAATGGTCACAGGGTCTGCAAATAAATGTAAAATATTATCCCTGTAACATCTGTACTGGAGAAAATCCAGTTTCTGTCTTTGCCCCCCCCCCCCACCACCACCACATCCCGCACGGCACTGGAGTGAAAACCTTGATTATCTATAATAGGAAGTGGAGGTGAGGAAATGAAAAAGTGGAGGTTGGTTTAATGAGCCCAGCAGTCTTTGTTGTGATGTTACACAGAAAGCAAAACCCCATTGTTTGTGAACGATGCACAGACCGCGACGCTTAATGCATCATTTTCTCGGTCGTGGCGAGTAGAACCGCATTTCATTGGTGGCTCCGACCCTATACTATGTATACACGCTTTCTTTTAACTCGCTCTGTCGTTATTGTCGTTGTTGTATCCTCAAATATTGTAACTCAATTTGAACCCACTTCCCAATGTGGTATCGACTGCAAACTTTGTATTCTTGTGTCATACTGATGACGATACTATATTCTATCATAAAAAATAAAATATATTTTTTTACATTCTTTTTTATACGGTATGTTTCGGCTTGGGTCTAATTGTCCACGGTAAACTGACGTTGGCTGTAATTGGCCACAGTCCCTTACGTTATGGCAAGCTTCGGGGCCACTTCCTGGAGTCGTGGAGTTCTGCCATTACTAGTACATTTCATAAAAGCGTGTTTTTTTTAAAGTTTTTTTTTATATTGCTTATTCTACGTCAATCCGGCCATCCGCACGAGTCTTCACATTTATTACGCTGAGCATAATCCCGCGGCGCCACGTAACTGTTGCAGAGTTAGTCGGCTTTTGGAGGAGGGCATGGGGTGCCCCCCCCCCCCCCCAGCAGCACCTGCCACCTTGACTTACCCCCCCCCCACCCTCTACCCACAAATACAGAGTCCCATCCTGTGCTTGTGGAAAAGTTGAGCTCGGTCGTGGAATTGAAACGTGCATTCGATATGAGACTGATAGCACGTGCCATTTAAACAAATGTGTTTTTAGCCGAGTGCACTTTTCATAGTGTAACTGCATATCAGAATCAGAATCTTTATTATGACTGGAGGAATCCGATGATCTATGAAGCTCTTTTACACAGATGTCTAGTCCGGGGTGGGTCAGCAAGTTACAACAACACTATTTATAACTCTTGACTTAAAGCTTTTGTGACTACAGGAATTAATATTTGTTGGGTCTTTCCAAAGAATACTACATATGTAATTATTCACATTTGATTTTGGGTGAGGCTACGGAATATACCATATAAGTTATACATTTAAAGTGTGTGTGTGTAGACACATCGCATATTTGCTATGCATGTGACAATTGACACCCTCAACACACGAGTTGTTGCATCTCAGGTGAAATATAAAATGTAAAAAAAATTGCCTGTCAAAGAAAATGTGCAGTCTGAAAACACAATCTGTATGGACGAGAATCAACAGTGACAAAGCAAATATTAAACAGAAACCTGAAAAGTGCTCAAAGAAACTCCTGTGATTGCCAGCTGCTCCTCACAGCATAGCATCATGTTGTGTGTGTATGCAGACGCTAACAGCACTTGCCCCTACGGTCTATTTATTTGTGGATGTATGTTGAACTTCTTTCGCACCGTATGTAGCCAACCAACCGTGCTAAGAAATTAGGTTTCAATCTAGATTTACAAGTGCATAGCTCCAGTGGCTTCTCAATGTCGGAAGAAAGAGTGTTGCAGACGATCGCAGAAGCGCATCTCAAAGCGCGCGATGCAGTGGGGACCGTCTTTGTTGGATGCTTATCCAAAAGCGAGGATGAGGTCTGCAAATGCTACACCGAGGATCTTTTGTCTTCACGCAGACGTGAGCCAGCAGGGCATGGCGAGCGCCAGGAGCGGTGAAGCGTGGCCTGGCGGTGACGGGGATACCACCGGGAGGCCCCAGGGCGCAGACGCCACGAGCGCCGCGACCGCCGCCAGTGCGAACGAGGGTGGCACCGGTGAGCGTTCACTTTGCCACCTGTTCACATTCTTAGGTTTTTTTCGGTAAAGTCACGTAGGTAAAAAAATTATTAAAATTAATAAAAATCACGACGTTTCGGAGGCAACACAAGCTTTCCGTCTTCAGGTGGAACCGTCACAGCACGCTTGCTGTATCAAGTAAATGAGAAATTCCAAGAGATCCGACATTGTGTATATGTACTGGTTGAGGGGGGAGGAGCCAGGGTAGGCTTCTGGATAGGAGTTTTTGTATTATTATGATAAGGTTGGTGCGGCTAAAGCTACGGATCTCTTGAAATTTCTCATTTACGTGATACAGCAAGCGTGCTGTGACGGTTCCACCTGAAGACGGAAGCTTGTGTTGCCTCCGAAACGTCGTGATTTTTATTTTACTTTTTATAATTTTAATAATTTTTTACCTAAGAATATGAATCCTTGCAGTCACGAAAGCTTCAAATCTTCCTTTTCACAAGTCGGGAGGTGCGGAGCGGTGGTGGGGGGGGGGGGGGGGGGGGGGGTAGGGTCGAACTGGCAGGGCCTAAGGGAGTAGAGGTGGTGGGAGTACAGTCTCGTTTCTTCGTAACTTGAATTCGAATCGGTTGTTGAGATGTGGGCGGGGTGGATCGGAGGTTACAGCGCCCTGCCCCGGCACCTCTTGAGATATTGGGTCCCACCGCCTGTCCCGCACTTCGGCTGCGTACAAAGCGAAAGAAGTTCAACGTAATACATAAACCGGGCCCTCAAGTGCTCAAGTGTCGCGAGTTGATGGTCTTAGCCCGGTCACCGATGAATGCACAACTCAATGACCACATTAAACTTAGTTGGTCACTTAATTTGGTTGAATTCAGTGCGGGTTGCTTGAAGGTGGTGAGCATAGGGGTCAATTTAAATGAGTACCAATTTGTAGGAAATCCAAACGGCGCTTGTCCTGTCAATCGGCTGTCTCCCGCCACAATAGGAATATGGCATTTCCATCGCAGCGTGTGTTTCTTGCAAAGGAATATGTGTACCACCATTTGCTCATTTTAGCCTCGACGTACTTTGTGTGACCTTATATGACTGCACTGTGGTTAACGTATAATTATGTTATTATGTCGGGGACGCCATCTCACCTATTATCACATTAAGTAAATTGTCTCTACCTTTAAGAACCCCATTTTTATTGTCTGTTTTAAGCTCAATGCTAATTTACATGTAAACGTTGCCTGGAGCGTGATTAATTCTACGTTAAAACAATGGCATCGTAAAACTATTTAAACGAACAGCGAAAGTGGCAAAGTACAAATTAAACTGGCTATTATTTTTCATCTCCTAGGTGACGATGGAAGCCGTAAAAATGGTGCTATGAACGCAGGAGCGTTGGTCCAAGGCGTTTCATCCAGGCACAGCGACTCATCCAGTGGCGACACCTGGACGTTACCAAACCCAGACTCCGGAAACGGCAATTGCAGCGTATCCGGCAAAGAGGGGGCCAAAGAGGGCACGGCGTGGCAAGGCGGTGGCGGCGGCGGCTGGGGTTCCAAGCACGTGCAGTGGAAGGACTGCCCTGTCACTCCAGGCCAGCATTCGAACAGCGGGGCCTCTGCGGCCGCGGCCAGCGGCGCTCAGCAAGGACCCTCCATGGCGGACGCCCAGAAGCCTGGCAACGGCGGTGGCGGTGGCGGCGGCGGCCTTTGGTGCAACGGCGCACCGCACGGCGACAAAGAAAGCTCTTCCAAGCCAACGGCACAAAACGGACCTCTCAACGGCCTTCACAAGGCCGGGGCCATCGGGCAGCATGGGCCCAATGGCCACGGCGGTGGCAGCTACGACGCGGACACTGTTTCTGTGAATTCTTCTGCACCTTCGATGAACAGACTTCCAGCAGGCTGGGGTGGTGACAAAAAGCAGGGTGTTTTGAACTCCCCGACCCAGCCTCATCAGGGAGCTGCCAACTCCTCTGGGCTAGTGGGGGGTGGCGGCAACTTGGGTTGTGCCATTTCAGGGAGGGGTGGGGCGGGCGTGCCCGACGGGAACAATGCGGTCGGCGCCGCGGCTTCCGACAAAGGTTGGGACAACGGCAATGACGGCGCGACGAGCTTCGGCTCAAAGGCGGCCAACGGTACTGTGAACGGTGGCAGTGTCGGTGGTTCAAAGCCTTCCGACGGCAATGATGCGGTTGGAAGCAAAAAAGAGACTCAGGGCCAGGGGAAAAGCCGCAATGGCTTTTGGGGTAGCGGCGACACAGAGCGGAACTCGACTTGGGAAAGCAGCCATAGTTTTCACAACAGCAGTGAGAACGGCAAAGACGATGGCATGAACGGGGATGGCTGGGGCTCCAAACCCACGGGACAACATCAGCAGGGCGGCAATGGTAAGGGGTCGATGAGCACTTGGGAAGCACTTGGTGGGTCGGCCAGTGGCGGCGAGACGAACGGAGCGGGATGGGGGAAAATCTCGGGGGGCGGTGGTGGCGGCGGCGGTGGCGGTGGCGGTGGTGGCGGCGGCGGAGGCGGTGGTGGCAGCGGTGGCAGCAGCGCCAACGTCATTGTTGGCGGCGGTGCCGCCACCACCACCACCACGAGCGGCAGTGTCGGGAGTAACGAGGGCAGCGGCGGCAGCCACAGCGGCGGCCACGGCGGCGGTCGCGGTCGGAACGGCGGCAGCGGCTACGGAGGAGGGCGGGAGCACCGACGCGTCGCCAAGTTGGACTCGCAGACGGTCATCCAGAGCGTGATGAGCCGTAAGGACCTGGACCCCCGTGTGCTCTCCAACACCGGCTGGGGACAGACGCCCGTGCAACAGCACACGTCGTGGGATGTGGAGTCGGCGGCCGCGGCGGCGGTGGCGCCGGTGCCGCCGCCGCCGAACCGCACCGCGCTGCATCCTCGACAGCAGGCCAACGGGAGTTCTGGCGACAGCTCCTGGAATTCCGGAGCGGGTTCTGCAGGCGCTCCGGTCTCCGGGTGGGGAGACGGTGGCAGGCCGCCTCCACCTTCTGGCGCAGGTCTGTCAGTGGGGAGGTGGGGAGATCCCGGGTCTGGCCGCGGAGATGGCCGGCCGGGTGGACCGCCGCCCTCCTCCGAACGGGGGTTCGGGGAACCTTCGGCAAACTCCTGGGCCGGTAACAAAGAGCAGCATCAGCAAGGCAAGTCGCCCGGCGCGACACCCTCTTGGGGCGAGCACGCCGCGTCGAAGCAGCCGCCGTCGGGTTGGGGCGGGCACGGTTGGGAGGGCAACGGCGGGCAGAAGCCGTCGTCGGGCTGGGAGGACGATCGCAGCGAAAGCTCCCCGGGCTGGGGCGATGCTCCCCAAGGGAGGAGCGGCAGCGTCAAGTCGAGCGGCGAGTGGGGCGGACCCGAGCCCAAAGCGGCCCCCGACGAATCGGCTCAGCCAAAGTCGGCACGAGGGTGCCGGGAGCCTCCCGCGCCAATGAACGACTCGTGGGGCGCTCAACCAAATAAGCCGAACTATAACCAAAGCGGGGGCGATCACGCCAAACGCGCCGCAGCCTCGGCGGGCTGGGGCGATTCTGATTACAGCCGCGGCGCTCTGCCGCAAAAGTCCGCGAGGGCCGGCGGTGGTGGCGGCGGGCCCCAGGGGGGGTGGGGTGACGAGCCGGGCGGCGGCTGCAAAGAGATGCCGCAAGGCTGGGGAGACGCCTCCAAGCAGAGCGACGGTTTAGGAAATTGGGGCGGCGCCCCGGTTGGAGGTGGGAGGGATAGCTCGTGGGTCGCCGGTAACGCAGGGGGAGGAGGAGGAGGGCAGACTGCGGGCAAAATATTGCCGGACGGCTCGGGTTCTGGCTCTGGCTGGGGAGATTCCTCAAAGACGCCCACGTCGAGAGACTGGGACGATGGCAAAGATGGGCCCAGAGGCTGTGCGGATGGCTGGGACGGCAGAAACGGTGCCACCAAAGTCGGAGACAAAGCTGGGGGTTGGGGCGAGGAGCATCCGGCAGGCGAGACTGGCGAGCGCTGGCGCAACCAGCACGGTGATGGCAATCCCGCCAATTCCTGGGGCCAGAATGGCAATGCGGGGCCCAATCCTAACAAGCAGGTTGGAGGTGGTAGTGGTGGTAGTGGTGGTAGTGGTGGTAGTGGTGGTAGTGGTGGTAGTGGTGGTAGTGGTGGTGGTAGTGGTGGTGGTAGTGGTGGTGGTGGTGCAGGAGGTTGGGTTGGGGGTCCGATCCCAGCGATCCCCAAAGACGTGGAGCCCACGGGCTGGGAGGAGCCGGCGGCGCAAGCGGGCCGGCGTAAGGGGGACGTTGACGACGGCACGGCGGCCTGGGGCGACCCCAGCGCCTACAACACGCGCGGCGTCAACATGTGGGAGGGCAAGCAAGGCGGCGGGGGCGACGGCTTTCTCGCGGGACGGCAAGCAGCAAGGCCGGAACGACGGCCGCGTCCAAGGCTCCCCGAGCGTCGCTCCAGGTGAGACTGGAGTTGGCGTACCAGAGGTCGCAACCGGGTACCCGATACCCGTACCCTACCCGATACCCGGCTACCCGGGTACGGGTAGCCGGGTAGACCGTGAGTCACTGGTGAGTAACTGTTTGTCACTCATTTCCCAATGTCTTGTTTCTTCTCACAATTCAAGTTCCTAGAATCAACCCACCCGCGCCTGCAACATGGCTTCATCCCAGAGGTCGCAATTGGGTACCCGTACCCTACCCGATACCCGGCCGGGTACGGGTAGCCGGGTATCAGGTAGGGTACGGGTACCCGATTGCGACCCTGGTGCGGCCGGGTACGGGTAAGGAATCAAAACCCGTTTGCGACCTCTGTGGCGTACCCAGAGAACGGTGGACGATAGACAAGCCCCGCTGATGTGTTTTTGGGTTGTACGTTGATTCAATTTGATATCACGTTAGTGGTACGTATGTATCCTTGCACCGTACGCCGCCAACCGTGCTAATTGGAGGTGCAGGGGAAGGACAGATTAATTACAGAAAGCAATTAAAAAAGATCTAGATTTAAAAGTGCATAGCTCCAGTTGCTTCCTAATCTCGGAAGGAAGGAATAGCGTTTCCAGGTGGCTGCAGAAGCGCATCTGAAAGTGCGAGTGCTTACAATCCAATATTGCGTGCGTGTGCTGCTCTTAGGGCCTGGCATGCCTGTGGATAACGGCACGTCCATGTGGGGCAAGGGGGTGAGCGGTGGACCCTCTTGGGGCGAGGGGCGTGACGGCGGCATGGGCCACGCGGGGCCGTCTCGCTGGGCCAACACCCCAGCAGCCGCATCGATTCCGAACCGCTCCGGTGAGTCTCCTTTCCCAGTTTTGATTGCACTGCAGCATGGAATTGTCGTGGCGGGTGTATACCAGAGTCGTTGATTTCCTGCTCAAGCCCGCATTGAGACGGTGGTCATCTTCAGTCTACTGTTCTGAACCAGTGGTGAGGACAAGTCTGCATTTAAAACCAACAACCACTGAACCTCCAGTATCCTTCCGATAGCGAGCCACTCACGCTGCCACTGCGCCACCTGGTCCTGTGTATGATAATATGTTTTTTATTTTTTAGATAGCATCGTTTGTGCACATGGCATCTCACAATCGCTGAGAAACCACAGACAAGATGGCAAGCAGCTAGATGGTGAGCCGGTGCTAACAAATTGCCCGAATGCGTGAGGGTATAACAACACTCTATCCCGCACTGAAGGGGACATGTGATACAAGTCCGCACTTTGCTGCACCGCCTTCTCCTGGCAAGCCAGGGTATGGCACCTCTTGATGCCCACGGGAAGGCAGTTTCACAACATTTGTGTGATCCACCAGCCCTTGCGCAACTTTCACAGTGCTACGTTGCAGATGTGTACCAGCACTGTCCGCCTTTTTATTATTTTTCCGGTATTCGGTAAGGAGGAAGGCTACCCACCCTGGTTAACAACGACCATCCCCATAAATTTAACTCAACGCATACAAACTACGAACGTGGCAATGATCAACCCTTACTGACTGGTAGGCCACCGCCTGCTCCTTGTGCCCACAGACAACTGCCACTGCAGGGGGGAGTAGTTGCGCTGTAATGTAACGCGCTCTGAGAGGGCGCTATATAAAGAAAATCACTTGAAGTGTGAGAAGGTGCTGACCAATTGCAATGAGTTATAAACCCCGTAGTTGTAATTTCGCCGGCAGGTAAAGGCATGTCGGACAGGTGGACCGCTGGTGGAGGAGGGCACCTCGAGAACGGTGGCACAGGCAGCGGCGGTGGCGGCGGCGCACGCCCCGGCTGGCGTCAGCTGTGTGGCGGCGACGATGACGCGATGGCTGACGACGGAGGTGATGACGAGGATGAGGAGGAGGTGGGAGAGCCCGGCGGCTGGAACGCCTGCGCCACGGCGTCGCAGGACAGCGTCTCCTCCCACGGCTCGGCCGGAGGGTGGGGGCGTGGGGGCCGACGGGGCCCAGCGGGCCCACATAAGGTGGGTCCCCACCCGCGGCCCCCTTGTGCCTTCCCTCCATATCCAGCTCCCATTCCTCCTCTGCTCCCCCCCGCCACCTCCCTCCCACCCCCCCCTCCCACCCCTCTCTCCGGTCTGCTGCTACACACTGGTTGATCTTTGTGTCCAACGTTACCAATGTCACGAATCGTAATTGATTTTCAGGTTCATCTTGGCGTTTTAGTTGTGCAATGTGTGTCATGTGATCTAATCCAAAAACAAAAATCCTATGATGAATCTCTCCATCCTGTCCCTTGGTTTCATACCAGACCACAATACCAGTCACAAGCGATGTCCAAAACCTTGAGGGGGGGGCCAGGCCCCCCCAAAGTGAAACGCTTTTAAATGACTACCCGGCGGTGCACAGCATTTAACAGCAGCCTTGCAGAGACTAAAATCGGCTCCAGGAATGTTGCTGGCCACACCGCCCACTCGTGTTATGTGCTGACCTTGAAAGATTCTCGTTAGCAGCGGCAGTCTATAAGACGATGCACACGTGACCTTTGTGTGTGCACGTTGTGCGCGTATGTGTGTGTGTCTGTGTGTGTGTCTGTGTGTGCGTGTAGTGTAGCGGTTAGCGCGCTGCGCTATTAAGCTGACGACCCGGGTTCGATTCCCGCTCATGGCTAACACCAGTGACGATTATCTGAACCGGTTCTGGGCCTCCCCTAGGTCGACTCAGCCTTAAATGAGTACCTGGTGCGGTGTGTAAACATCGCCACTGGGGAGACAAAGGCGGTCGGGCGTGGCGCTGGCCACCCACCCCCTCGTTCGTGTACCATTCCGGCCTTCATATGTGCTCGCTAACAGCACTTGCCCCTACAGTCTGTTAAGGCTATACGGGGGATCTTTATCTTTGTGTGTGCGTGTCTGTGTGTGCGTGTGTGTGCGCTATCTCAGGGAATGGGAAAAGTGCCAAACAGGCAGGAGGAGCTGATATGCAGACTTCTCAAGCAGCTCACAGACATGGGCTTTGCAGTAAGTAAGCGGGTACCCACGTTATTTCTCACAATTGCAGCGAGACCCGCCAAGGCCTTCGCGAGAGATTTTCATTTATTTTCGCAGCTCGGGAGAGGAATTGATGAGTCTCTCTTCGGGGACGGCACCCGAAAAGTTGTGCTTTTTGAAGCTTCCGAGCGGCTCGGCAGCCTCTTAATTGCGGTACCCAGAGATACTGAAAGCCGGGTGACCGCTACCCATCGGGTTCAACGAGCCTCTCAAGCGTGGGGAACTTCTGACCTGCACACCAAACGACCCGTGTCAAATGTTATTTTCATTCCCGTGCAACTCGCACTCATCCCAGGACATTATGCAGAGTGTATCTCATGATACTCTTAGTTTTTTCGGTAAAGTCACGTAGGTAAAAAATGAAATTAAAATTAATAAAAATAAAATAATTTTAATTTCATTTTTTACCTACGTGTCTTTACCGAAAAAACTAAGAGTATGAATCCTTGCAGTCACGAAAGCTTCAAATCTAGAGTGTATCTCATCACTCTGGGTGCGTAAGAGGCTTACTTACCAAAGGGAACACGGTGAGCAATTCTGCGGGTTGTAATCTGCGAGCCGCAAACTCGCGATGCTTTGGTCGTCCCTGCGAGAGGAGAAGAGCTCGCGCCCACTGCTTGCGCCCCCCCCCCCCCCCCCACCGACTCTCCTCGTTCCCTTCTCCGATCCCCCACAGCGCGAGGTGGCCGAGGAAGCGCTAAGAGGCAGCAACCTCAACGTGGATCTTGCTCTTGGTGAGTGGGTTGGCGGAATGCCACGAGCGGCGCTCGCTTCTCTGCGTCCATTGAAAGCCGCCAAGTGGTCGCGTCTGTTACGTTCGAAGATGATTTTTCTTTGAATGTTAGTCTTTACAACTTTCACTATTTTTAAATCCTTTATATTAAGTTCACTTGCGCGCTTGCACTGCTTACGACCGTGCAAATCTTTCGGTCGTTTTTTAACCCACTTCCCGTGATCCAATCGAGCTGACATTTTGCACACAGACTCGTTGTGCGTGACAATTTATTTTCGTGAAAATTTTTTTCCATAACTTTACACTTTTTAGGAATTTTTTTTTATATTTAATTACCAATTGCTTAATGGTGGCAGGCAATCATCTGACCCATAGGTGGCAGCCATCTCAAGCCAGAGGACGAGAGGACTCTAGCTGCCACGCATATAAAGGATTTATAGTGAAAAACTTTGTTTTTACGGGTAAATTTTTTGTTGAACATGAAAAACTGAATTATCACCATCTTAACAAACGTACAAAACGTTTTGCGGCGTGACGCCGTAGTTTGGGGGGGGGGGGCACAATCGAGATAAAAAATATTATTGTGGGAAAACATCTATTTAAAAAATACTTCTGTAACACCTAGTGTAACTTAAACGTTCAGAACGTGTCGACGGAGTGACTTCATGTTTGTTGACAACCTTATTACAGACCCTAAAATAAATATTAACCTTAAGTGTAATAAAGCAATAGATTTTTTTCAGCAAGCCAGGGCTGTTGGGCATGAAGGTCACGTTTCCGTTGTAAAAGCTGGTTCAACATTAACTGTGTTTCACAAGACCATTGAATTTGTTTTTGTGTTCACTTTCTGTAGAAAAGAGTGTCCTTGGTGCTGAATAAGCACAGCTATTTTAAGTACAGACTGTCCATTACATCAGTTTACTTGAGTTTTTAATATACATTCATCGTATTTTATAAAAACCTAAATATTTGAAACACGTCAATATAACCGCTTGTTTGTCTCCAGTCCATAAATGCTTTTGCGGCAGAGTTGAACAATTTTTACGTGCTCATTGCTGTTATTTATGGTATTAACATGTCGCCTTGCATGCAGCCCGTGTGTGTAATGACTGTCACAACGGTGGAAATGCCATCCAGAGGTCACCATTTGGTTAGATCCTCCCGACACGGCAGTTGAAACAACAGACGAGGTTATTAAATCCACCGCCTGCCTCTCTGTCCACCCATCAGTTTTAACTGGGTACGCCCCAGTGATTTGTCGATCGGCATGTGGGTAGTCCCACCTCTGTCAAGAAATCTGGCCAGTGTGGAAGAGTAGACCAACTGGCCTCAAGGGGGGGGCGGGGGGCTCTAGGGTTAGTTGACAGCGATGTGAGCAAGCAGTTATAACGGGGATGCATGTTCATCTGTTACCTAAAGTTGCTTTTCTTTGTGTGAACGGGACGAACAAACAAAGGAATACTGCAAAAGGCCGAACTGGACAGACGTTCTCTGGACTACAGCAGCCTGCTGTGCCGGAATCAAGTGCAGCGAGACTCCTCCACAGACCGTGCCCCGTATTTTGACAAGGTGCGTGCCCCCCCCCCCCCCCCCCACGTCTTCTGCAATGCCGAACGACCGTGGTCCCAGCGGTAGCGCATTCGTCGCTTGTTGGTAGAGGTTCCCTGTTTGACTCGGGCAAGCCGCCCTGGTTATTGCGCGCCGCCTGCTTCCGCAGTGGTCGTTAAAATCACGCCACGCCTTGTGGATCACAGCAACCTCACTCCACGCCACAATAACAAATGAAGGCGAGAGATAGATGGAAGCAAGTCCGACATCAATCATAAACATCTCATACAGGAATTCTAGATTTGAAGCTTGCGTGACTGCAAGGATTCATATTCTTAGGTTTTTACCATACGTGACTTTACCAAAAAAACCTAAGAATATCTCATACAGGAACCCTGCCATCGAACCTCCCGGTTTCTCCTGGTCGACCATCAACCAAATCGGGACCGGGCACAGCCGATGCGGCCACCTGACGCGCAAATGACACGTCAAAGATTCGGTGGCCTGGGCGTGCGACCACAAATCTCAAGTCACCGACCACATTGTAGACACCTGCTGCCTTTCACTCCTTTAAAGGAGGAATGGCCGAGATCCACTCCGCTTCTGAACAGACAATTGAGTGGATAACAAATCTAAAATGACACGGTTAATCTGCTGCTATTAATCCATACAAAGAAAAAAAATGGTCGTTAGAGGATCACCAGACGTCATTTGCTCGCGTCATGATCCATATTCGCCAAAATTTGTAAAATAACCACCGCAGGTTACTCTCAATTGGTACATCACCTCGCAATCATCACTCCCCTACTGGCAGACTTTTAATGCCTGTGTGGCACGCCAGGTTCTGAGTCACTGCGTGCTGCACTATCACCGGGGTGCCCTTCCGAGTGTTTTACTTGAGATGTGATGCGAGTCGCTTATCGCTTGCAATTTATCATTAGATCACACACGTGTACGCTGTAGCTTTTTACGGAAAAGGGTCCTAACAAACAACAGCCGAGTTTGTTTGGCAGGGAATATAATTTCAGAAGGAAAAAAATCTACACGGCAATTTGAAACATCTACAGAATGTGGAAATACATCTGAAGTGTTCCCATGGTGGACTGCCAATGGTGGATACTGGTAGCATATGCCACCCCAGATCGTACCGACCAACCCCCCCTCGGCTCATGAGTTAACATCCTCCACCATCTCTCTGATCAACTTAATCAGTAGGAGGCCAAAGGTCGGTTGTGAAGGTTGTGGGGGGGGGGGGGTGTTGTAAAGGTGCGGAGTGAAACTCTGCCCTTTGTCCCATCACACGCAACTTTATCTTACCACAGCATTTTGTTATTTTCTTGCGTGGAGGAAAAAAAAGGATTACACGTTTGCTGTGAGAGTTGCACCAGCTTGACAGTTAACATCTTTACCGAAAAGACTTTACGTGACCTTACCGAAAAAACCAAAGAGTCGTTAACATCTTGCCACGGGGGTGACATTTTTACCCCCTCGCCTGGTTTTCAGGATGTCTTAGGTTCGATCCCGACCTTGACGCCTGTATATTTGGAGTTTGCGCGTCTCTCTCTCCCTTTGGTTGTGTGGCATTTTCTCTGGGACCTCCGGTTTTTACCTCCACGTTTAGAAATATGTGTTCAGAGCATTTGGCCGCTCTAAATTTCTACGCGTTAAGCCACTTTGTTGAGCTGTCATTTGTGGCCAGGTCGCTTCTGAAAATGACCTTACCTGGTAAAATATAGATTTTCTTTTTTACCGCATACGACCGATTTAAAAAAGACGCACGCCGAGAATATTGACTACTGAGGGCTGCGTCTCTTGCGCCCCCACCGCCAGGCTAGCCAACGAGAGTATTTAAAACCTCGCTAATCAGAAGGGTGACTTGAAATGTACGGTGGAGCACGCGACGTGACACTCCCGTACGCTTTAACGAACCGTGTTAGCGCAGTGACGTCAGCGGATTGGCAATGTGCAGCACGCGCCGCTTCAAGTCGGCACTTTGCAAAGACCGATTTGCCCTCCCCTTGCCGCTTCTCACTGCTGCTTTCCCGGCAGAGCCGAGCACATTTCGCTTTTTTCGATTTAAAGCTTTCGTGACTGCAGGGATTCATCTTCTTGGTTCATTTGGTAAAGTCACGTAGAATGTAAATAATAAAATAATAAAAATAAAACATTAATAATTCTCACGACGTTTCGGCCACAACGCAAGTAGCCGTCCTCAGGTGGAGAACAGGTCTGTCGAGGAGACAGAGCCTGAAATGTCTCCTCGACAGACCTGTTCTCCACCTGAGGACGGCTACTTGCGTTGTGGCCGAAACGTCGTGAGAATTATTTTATTTGTATTATTTACATTCTACGTGACTTTACCGAAAGAACCAAGAAGACACATTTTGCTTGTTTCTCACACCCCGCACCGCCTCTGCCACCAGTTTGTCTTAGCCGACACAACTCGCCATTAAATTTGACTCGAGCATGGCTGGCTTAATTTTTTTTCCTCCCTTCCTCCTTTCTGTCCTCCCTGTTTTTGTTCTTTCATTGTTTTCTTTTAAATGTTTTTTTTTAACATACCTCTTGCTTTCGACGTGCTTTGCGGGGTGTGAATTTTTACTTGTCTCTGTTCTTGGGTGGTGCTTTTTCTTTTGGACTGAGGGGGGCCCTCCCCTCCGCCCTCCACCTCCTCGGCTTTTCTGCTTTGGCGGGCACCCCCACCATCTCCGCCCCCTCGCTCCGTCCACCCCCCCCTTCCTCGCCCCCCCCCCCCCACCTTGCTCGCTTGCAGCTCACACTGTCGCTGGGTAGCCAGGACTCAGGGCTCGCAGACGAGCCTCCTGGTTCTCCGTGCCCGCCCTCCCCGCCCACAAAGCTTTGCTTTGCTGCTGCGGGCGCCGCTCAAGGTCCCCGGCCCACCCCTCCCCATAACCCCAGCCCAGCCTCCCAGCAGGTGAGTAAGTGAGAAACAGGGCCAGTTGTAAGTGAGAACAGGGCCACGTGCTGCCCGGCTGGGGCAGGAGAGACGATGCAGCATCGATTCGACCGTCGTACCCTTTGCTTCCCCCCACTGCCTCCCTCCTCTGCTATTCATTGTGTATGCCCTCTTGCCTCCGGGGTGCCACAGTGCCGACTATTGACTTGCTAGCTCCCCTCTCCTCCCATGCGCTTTCGGGTTGTTCCCCGTTTTGTTCGGCACAATGTGCGATGCTTCGCTCCATGTGCTTCGTCAAGAACTGTAATGGGCAGCTCCACTTCATAGTCGAGGCTGAAGAGTGGACCGGCTTGGTTCACTTTGTGAAAAATACGTAAAAAAAAAACTCCCAGGACATGGAGAGAAACGTTCGACATGGCGAGGAACGTTGTTGTACATCGCACAACACCCAGTTACAGTTTGACCCCCCCCCCTACGGATGATTTGGACTATCAACTTTTCCGATGTTGCGTTAAGCGCTCGAACCACGGTGCTGCCGGATTGGATATAAAAGCGAAGTTGTTTCTAGCACGTTTAATATTTTTGTTCTTTTTTTTAAAAGTGAGACCTTGTGTTTCGGGCATCCTAGTTTTTGTTAAACATTGTAGCATTTGAGTCGAACTGACTCCGTACAGTTTAATCTGAATCGCCATCAGCTGTGACGTTCATTGGTGTAACCAGAACAAGCTTTGACCTGGATGACCAAACTGACAAAAGCTAAAGACTTTAAATAACTCGCAGCAATGAAGCAGATACAAATCAAACCAAAAAAAAAACCTGTCGCCAGAAATATCAGAAATATTATACAAAGTGAATCAATTTGAAGTAATAAATCTCTCTCGCGCAAGTTGGCTCGAGCAGATACATTTTTTTGACCGATGCAAGTCCTGTTAATCCATTAATTTACGAGCAGCGGTGGAAGGCTGAAGAGATATTCGCCGATGAGATTTGTTTTATTTGTAAAACTTTTTTAATTAAGAGCCGAGTGGCACCGCATGGGAACGACCGAGGCGTCAAAAGGCACGCGTTCGCCTCATTTCATATCATAGATGAGTACGCGGCTTTAGAATTCACTCGTAGGAACATGCGCGGCAACTGTTCATTACATTGGTCGGGGTTAGCGACTTACAATTCCCGGCCTCGATAAGCGCATCTCAAATTTACATAGGCACATCGCAACCCCCCCCCCCCCACCCCCTTTCATCGCGATCGGACGATTTATCACGTTTCAAGGTCACAATTCGGTTCATGGATATATTCATTTATTCATCTCCGTTTTGTATCATCGGGTTTCTTTGTATTTTTCCTTCCCGCCTTCGTTTTTGTTGGCCCAAAATGTAACGTTAACCTTGTAATTTGCTTCTAATGAACGTAAATAATTGATTCTCGCAGGCGCGGGGTCTTCATGCGCGCGCCGCAACCGCGAGCATGTGGCACCGACGAGTTGCGTCGTTACATGCATACTAATGCTGCAGGTGGTAGGCTGTGCACATCAGGGCTGTTCCCACAGTCCGCCCGTCACCGCCGGGATATGGTGTGTTTAGTCTCTTAAACAATTAACTGACCCAACGCAATTTTACGTGCGCGTGCAGAGCGCTTATTGGGCATGCACGTTGACGAGGAGGAAAAAAAAGGAGTAACTTATAATAAGCATTGACCGCCTTCGCTCTCCAGCGATGTATTAAAAGATAACGGCATTGATCGGTGGCGGCGTGGCTATCAAGTGTGCAGGCAGTGCAATTGCACCAGCGTCCACAGGCCAGGTCCGAGAAGCCCAGATGCCCAGCTTCTGAGGGGTGGGGGAGGCGATTGGGGGGGGGGGAGATGAGAATATAACGGGGAGCCCCAATTCTCTCCCTGCACCAGGGCTCATGCCAACACGAGCCACTACACCACCGGCAGCAATCGATGTACCGTTGCCTCTACAGAGCGCTGTGGTCACGTGCCTGAAGGTCACTTTAAACTTGTTTTTCTCATTAGCAAAGCTTCAATCTCACGTCGGCAGAGCCTAGGATTTACAGCCCAAGCAAGTGCTTGTATACAACAAAGGCATTTTATTTGGGGTGGGGGTGGGATTGCAGCTTCCTTTTAAAACGGTCGCGCATTCCACTGCGAATATATTTTGCTTGCATTGCTGTAGAGGTGTGAAGATTGATTAATATCGATCCGCACACTCCCGACACCTGCGTGTGTAATCACGTATGCTAGCCGCAATTATTTCCACTTCATCTATTTTATTACCCCCATATACACGTATATATCCATACTCGCACCAAAAGCAGTTGCACGTTTGTGTCGGTTATTATAATTATAGTGGGCAATGATTACACCACTGCGATGACACGCTCTGCACGGGGGGCAGGGCTGATGAGGGGGGTGGGCAGCCAGTGAGTCCTGGTGCGGTTGCACCGAATAGCTACGCCACTGATCTCGCATCGTCCAGTAATCAGAGGTGACGAGAGAGGTCTTGAGCAAGGTCTTGATGCATAATTATTTATTTCCCAAAAAACCTTTCTTATTTGCAGGAGGATCCCCGGTATGTTTGGCCAACACCCATGACATTTTAATGTTTTAATCAATGGTGGGGGGGGGGGGGGAGAAAACCAGAGTACACGGAGGATCTCAATGCGTGCACCATGGAGGAGAGATGGCACGTCCCGTTGTGGCTAGTCGACGACTTGGATTTGCAGGCGGGGTCGACGCTAAACACAGTGTTCCGTGTTTTCCCCCCCCCCACCTTCCCCCGTTGCTTGCCGTGCAGAATGGCAACCCCAGCCTGTTGGGCAGGAACCTGCACCACCAGCCCTCCAGCCACCAGCAGCTGCCCTCGCCAGGCCAGCCCTTCCCACTGTCGCCCTCGGGCCTTCGCTCACAAGTGCCTCCTCACTTCCTCACCCCTCAGGTGAAGAAGGGGGGGCAGTGGCTCATTGACCCGGCCCCTCGACTCGATGTCTGCGAGGGGAAAAAGAGGATTCGCAGCTCTGTCGGGATTCCTCCGGGATAAATAAAATGAATAGAGATTCTGATACTCTAAAATATTCTGCTTCCGTCAGTTTTGGATGTATATGTGTACGTAACGTTGAACTTGTTTCACACCGTACGTAGCCAACCATGCTCATCGGAGGCGCGGATATTTGTCCTTTCCCAGTTTTTCTTTATTGCCAATCGTCAGGCGAGCATCGGGAAGGGGGAGGTGGGGCCGGTAAAGATTAAAAAGTGACTCTGGCCGCTGAAGTTGAGGTTCTGTGTGAATCTTCTTGGTTCTTTCGGTAAAGTCACGTAGAAGGAAAATAATAATAAAAATAAAACATAATAAAATAATTCTCACGACGTTTCGGCCACAACGCAAGCAGCCGTCTTCAGGTGGAGAACAGGTCTGTCAAGTAGACAAGTGTCAAGTAGACAGTCTGAAATTTTTCAGACTGTCTACTTGACAGACCTGTTCTCCACCTGAAGACGGCTGCTTGCGTTGTGGCCGAAACGTCGTGAGAATTATTTTATTGTTTTATTTTTATTATTTTCCTTCTACGTGACTTTACCGAAAGAACCAAGAAGATGAATCCCTGCAGTCACGAAAGCTTTAAATCGAAAGTTCTGTGTGAACTTTGTTAAAAAAAAAAATTAAGTTCCCTAAACCGAATTGAATCGGAAAACAGATTCGGATTTGTCCCGTTCCTAGCTCTTGTACAAACCAGTTGGTGCGACTGATGAAATCCAGCTTAGCGAGTTGGATCTGGACTTCTCTCTTGGGCACGTGGTGGCTTTCAGCAATTCTTTTGGTCTGTCCATGTCGATGATGCAGAGTTTGCCCCAAGCTTGCAAATTTAAATGAAACGGGTGCAGTTGGGCCTCCCTTGCCACGCTGCCAGTGGGGAATCGAGCCACCGGGCGTTTATATTAGCACGTAAATTTACTTAATTTATGTATGTGGGGCACAACCGTTAACGTTAAAATTAATACCATTAAGCGATGTTTTATCTTTTTGATTTTCGTCCACCTTCAATAATTTGCCCCGTAAATTGTTTTATATACTGCAATTCGTTAATAAAGTTATTACCTTGAAAAAATAAATCAATTAAAATCAATATATTAGCTGAAGATGGAATGATGTCCTTTGAGGAAATGATGGGGGTTTTTTTTTGTTATTAAAGAAAACGGATATATTGGGTCAACGTACCCCTGAATTAGCCCGATATATTGAAGACACTGCAACATATGGCGCTTTCAACTTTTTTTTCCGATAAAGTCACGTAGGTAAAAAATCTAATCAAATAAATGAAAACAACGAAATTAAATTGTGATCTAATTTAAATTGTGATTTAATTTAGTTGTTTTCATTTTTCTTAGGTTTTTTTTAGCTGTATCAAGTGAGCTATCGTGCTGTGACGGTTCCACCTGAAGACGGAAGCTTGTGTTGCCTCCGAAACGTCGTGATTTTTATTTTATTTTACTTTTATTAATTTTAATTTTTTACCTACGTGACTTTACCGAAAAAACCTAAGAATATGAATCCTTGCAGTCACGAAAGCTTCAAGTCTAGAATTTTTTCATTTCTTTTATTAGATTTTTTACCCACGTGACTTCACCGAAAAAAAAAAAAGACTGAATCCTTGCAAGTCACGAAAGCTTCAAATCTATAATATGGCACTTTGGCTGTTTTCAGGTGGCCCCTGCACAGCTGCTGCAGTACGCAGCAAAGGCTGGCGCCCTCAACCCTGCGCTGCTGCTGCAGCATCCCCTGGCTAACCCACAGATGGCTGTGTTCAGCCAGCTGGCCCAAGCACAGCTACAGCTGGTGAGCCCATCACCACCACCACGGCTGCGCCACCCCACCGATATCGACGCTCGCATTGCCGCCACCGTCATAATCTCAACGTCATCCGTAACCATCGTCACCCTCGCAAATATCAACACTGGCGTTGCCATCATCGCTACTGCCAATGATAATACCAGCATAGCCGGCACCAATATCGACGCTAACACAGCCCACCACCATAATGTCAACACCAGCATAGCCACCACCACCATTGCCAAGCCACAATCACCAACAACGTCAACAATATAACTATCATCACCACCACCACTGCTAATATGAATACCAGCATAGACGCCACCGCCATTGACAACATAAACACCATCACAGCCACTGCCACCAACATAGCCACTATCACCACTACCGCCACCCAGGATAACCACCACCGCTAATATCACTATAATACCGCCACCACCATTGCGCAACAACGACAACTGTTTTGTTGGCAGATTAAAGGGGAAAAATCTATTCTCATATTTTGGTACTGGCAAAGGAGGTCCCATGATGTAGATGCTCACCCCGAGCTCTCATTACTCTGATAGTGCATTGTCTTTGGGCTGTACGCCTTTTGGCGTCCTCTGATCTAACACCGTTTGAGACGAGGCTCAAAAGAAAGCTGGTCTCTGGTGTTGACCAATCAGTTTCAAGGACAATGCATATATTATCAGTGTTTTTTAATTGCATTTTGACTAGAAGTATTGTGGTTAATGTAGACATGATTCCTTGTAAAATGTTTCAGTTTGGTGTTTTAACATCTTAACACCTGTTTTGTTGCCAGACAAAAGGGGAAAACCTATTCTCAACTGTGGTTTCTTGAAATGCTCTTTCTCACACATCGGTCACGTATTTGTACACGTACAGCCCTCTTTGTCAATCTACTGCTGCATGAGCACGCTGCCTACGCCGCGTGGGTCGTGGGACCTATCTGACCATACTTCACCACTGACAAGTGCGGATTGATAGAGGCGGCGGCAGGGGGGGAACCCCTAGACCAGGGGTGGGGAACGTCCGGCCCGTGGGCCGTATGAGGCCCACGAAATCATTCGGTCCGGCCCTGCCAAGGCAACTGCAGGCGGGACTCGAAATTCAATAAATCTAGGAGCAAACCTGGAAAAGCAGTTGCGAGTAGCAGCAACATCGTCAATACCAGCTAACATCACACGCCTCGCCAAAGAGAAGCAGTTCCAGCCCATCACATTAGGGGCGAGTTAATTAAATGTTTGACCAAATATAACGGGCTAATTTTTAAGTTGATCATTTTGTACGGCCCGCGAATGATGTTTTAATATCCAAATGGCCCTTGGCAGAAAAAAGGTTCCCCACCCCCCTGCCCTAGACGTTGGAGCATGCTGCGCTGCCCTCTGCTGGCAATGTGTAGCCCTTTTTTTTAGTAACGTCAGTCACATCGTGAAACATGTCCCCTATTATATATTATTTCGTTTCGAGCCACAGTGTTATTGATGAATGTTGTTGAGTGATTTTAATGTTTTGGGGGACGATATTTGAGGATGCAAAACATTTTTTATGGGCGAGACATCGAGAGGTAGAATGCTACGGGGCAGAGAGGGAACACATGATCCTGGAACATTATAGGGGGGCAAACGTAACAGGCTGAATGCATGCTACAGTGGCAGGGCGTTCCAAGCACCGGGTGCAGTGACCAAGCAAACTCCCATTGAGCAGAGACACCACGGTGGCGTGTTGTTAATTGCCTCACCTGATATGCAGGAGGTAGTGGGTTTGATCCCGACCCTGACGCCTTTGCGTGTTCTCACCGTGGCCGCGTGGATTTTCTCTGGGTCCTCCGGTTCTTCCCTCCACATTTAGACTCGACATGCGTTTACAGTATTTGACCGCTATAAATGTCCACATGCGAAGCCACTTCGTTGAGCTCTCATTTGTGGCCAGATCGCTTCTGGAAAAGAGCTGTGTAGCTCAGTGGCCCTTACCTGGTAAAATAAAAAAAAATGTTTACAGGTGGGAGGAGGGACTCAGTTTCTGGAGTAGAGCGCACGAACAAGAAAGTAGAGCAAAATGAGCGAGGGGAGAGTCTGGTCAAACTGTGTCAGTGCTCGACGCATACGTGCAACACTATCCGTTTAATTTAGGTTAAGAGCCCACTGCAGTTGCCGGTGGCTGCTTTGGCTCTTCTCCCTTTGCGTAGCCGTCAACATTTGCAATGAACTTCGATGAATGAAAATAAATTCGTCGACTCGTGTGTGTGTGTGTATATATATTAGCCGTCCGATATACACATTATGGTAAAATATAAATACAAAATGCCAGCCACCCCACACACAGCTGCAGAGGCTCTCGGCAAAAGCTGGCCAGTTAACAGAGCTTCAACAAATTACAATCGTTGGGGAACATTTTCATTTGGCTTACAGCGTTGACCCCTTAACGTGTAAACCATTGTTCGCAGATATTGTATCGGCTGTGTCTTAAAACGTAGGTTTTGGCGGTCACCCTGTACAGCTCTATGTTGCGGTGTTCAAGGTGTAGCGTGACAAATTGGGTCCGATCATTACGTGGCCAAAACCCCTGAATTAAATTTTGAATGGCATTAAACCTTTTTTTGTTAGACCACTGGACTTTTCTTTTTTATCACGTTGTCTTGTGCTTTGAGCTATACCAGGGGTTGGCCACCTGCAGCTCTTTGGCTGCCCCCTAAGTGGCTTTTTGGCAGCTGTGTACCTTAGTGGAGGTTTTTGGGTGAGATCGCGTGAATATGGCGAGATTTGTCGTCTGGCTGTGTCCGCTTGATGATGATGCTGCTTAAATTTCGATTTAAAGCTTTCGTGACTGCAGGGATTCATCTTCTTAGTTCTTTCGGTAAAGTCACGTAGAAGGGAAGTGACTTTACCGAAAGAACTAAGAAGATGATGCTGCTGGTTGTAATTACTGGTGAAACGTCGTACCTCGATTGTAAATGTCGTGGGTTTACTCTCCAACACACGGTGTGCCGAACCAGTGACGAATTGGCACGTTTTGTTTACGTAACAAACCTTACTAATTGGCTGTGTCGGGTGGTGGTGGCGGGTTTAACGACACACATCTACGCGATCTAACCCAAAAAAGCCTCCGTGTTAAACTGCTGTATAACCGCTATGTGTGTGTGTGTACATGTAGTCCTGCTTGTGATGCGACTCTGGAAAATATTTTGGTCAAAGTAAAAAATATAGAAAAAGCAATATTTTTTGAAAGGTTGCCGACCCCTGACCTATACCATCCCCTTACCCAATCCCCGCCCACCTCCCTCCCCGTACCTCTACCCCACCATCGCTCACCCGACCAGACTTAAGTGTAGCGCGCGGCAACGCCGCCGCGGCTACTTTTCACGCGTGCAACCTGCGGCGTGGCAAAGTTGAGTCAGTTGGGAACCGTGCGGCTGCATCTTGTCCTCTGCCCGCCGATTTTTCCCCCAATCTGTCCCTAGGCCCAACAGAGGCTGCTTCTGCAGCAGCAGCTGTCCCAGCAGACCCAGAGAAACTCATTCAAACAACAGCGGGAGCAGCAGGTGAGCGAGCCTTTCCAGATCCTAGCGCTGGTTGGTGATGATGACGACGCAGACGACTGTGACCGTAATTCAATAACACTGGTCAGCAAAAAAAAAAAAATTTCTGGCCTGGACTTTTGCAGCTGTTTTAGACTAATTTCAGGGTGCCGATTCCAAATCTGATCTCAGATTTGCCCTATCACATCTCGTTTTTATGCTATCGGCATACCCCATTTTCATTGATTTTACCCGAAATTAACTCTGTCGCTTATGATTGCAAGTTGTTGCGAGTCAGTGACTGCTTTAGTGTTAAAATATGGTGCTGTATTTTTAGGATAGTGTGTTTATAATATAATTTGATATAGATTACCACATTTATTTAATATTTTTCTTCTGCAGTTTTTATTGAAAATGCAATATTTGATATCTCAAAAACCTAATGTGATAGACAAAAACTGCCAGATTTGGAATCAGCACCCCAAAATGACCTTAAAACCGTTGGAATACCTTATGCCAGAAAAAGTGTGTTGACCAGTGTAATTAGCAACCTTGCTAATTGCTTGCTCACGCCGCCGCCGTAAATGCTTAGACTGGAAAGGTCTGGGGAGGCTGTTTTTGGCCTCTTCCAAGCCGGCCAAGCGGGAGTACCCACCCGCACTTTGCCCCGCGAAGATGCAAGCTGCTGTGTACTGCTGGATGGAGAGAGGCAGGGGAGGATTTAAGAAACGTGCACCATTGTTTCAGCAGTCGCGCCGGGAGATGGGGTCGATCTTGCGACCTCTGGATTGCGAGCGGAGTGTGCTACCGCTAACCGTTTCCCTTTGATAAGAATATTCTTTATAAAGCCAGGAAAACCTCGCTACCGAGTCTCGGTATGTGCATGTCATTAAGTGCTATGTTCACACATTAGGAGCGGTAGTGGAACGACCTGAAATCGATTCCAGCTCACGGCCAACATGAGCCGGTCGTGGGCCTCCCCTAAGTCGACTCGGACTGAAATGAGTACCCGTTGTGGTTTGTAAACATCGGCACTGGGGAGACAAAGGCGGTCGGGCGCGGTGCTGGCCACACACCCCCTCGTGTGCCGTGTCGGCCTTCATAGGTGCTCGCTAACAGCACTTGCCCCTACAGTATGCTAAGGCTATACGGGGGATCTTTGTCTTTTGTTGACACCAAGGGACACCCTTGCAAAGGTGATGTTCCTCCTCGAGGAATTTTCCAGGTGGGATGCACTTGAAAGAAGAAAAAACAATATGAAACGCTATCCTTTTCCAGTTGGGTCCCGCATTGGTGATGGTTTCGCCGGTTCTGTTAACGATTGGCAGCAGTGTCATTTTGAGGAAGACGGCCATCCAAATAAACCTAAACAGCAATTCTACACCAAACGCACACACCTAGTGTGTCCAATGTCACTATGAAACGTTGACGGTGAGATGCAGAGACTAAATCAGAGCGACTTGCGGAGACGTACTCCGGTGACATCGCCGTATACCTGACGAATGTGCTTTTCAATGTCACTCAAGCGCTGCAGCAAAACCACTAGATCTTTTTTAAGTCTCCGTTTAAAACTCACACGTGTCAGCTCAGGATACACAGCCCCCCCCCCCTCCCCCAGGTATGTGTTTGTCTGCCAGAAACCATCCTGTAGATCGGAGCCTTGTTGGATTTGTGCGACGCAAGAAAAAAACCGCGCGGCTCGGCGTTCGGCTCAATAAGCGCTCGTCGGTAACGTGCGGCGTCTCCGCTGCGGAATTTTACTCTCGCCCCGCGCTTTCGTTCAGGTTACAGCAAGCCGACACAGCAAATGTAAAGAATGCATTTCTGTGTCGCGTTTGCAAGCCCTCTTTGTTAGCGGTTAGGCGCGCGAGCAGGTGCGTCCGTGTCCGCGCGCGCACGATATCGCGACACTGCAGCCGCCGCCGCTTCGTACAAAAAAAAATTTCCACGTAAGCGACCCACTTGGTAAAAAAAAACTGCTCGAGTCTTTTTTGCCTTTGTGCCTACACGCGCCACCCCCGGTGTCAGCGGTCAACCGTGTGTCTGTGTGCGCGTTCCTCCCCACCCCATCCTGTCCTTTGTTCACATAGATGGCTCGGACAATCGGAAGCTTGCAGCATCAGCAGTCACACAATCAACAGCAGCAGCAGCAACAGCAGCAGCAGCAGCGCATGCCGCCCTTTGCGCCTGGCAAACCTCAGCATGGCTTGGGACCCAACCCCGGCCCAATCATCGCTTCTGGTCGCCCGGACCTGCACGCCAAAGACATGAACCCACTGCACTCCTATTCCAGCTTCCTGGGTGAGCCCTGCATCTTCATGCCGAACAGTTTGAAACATGAACGATAAAAACTTAATTGAACTTTTATTTTATTTTACCAGTTGTAAGGCCCAGAGGCTGTGTAGCTCTTTTTCAGAAGCGATCTGGCCATCACAAACGAGATGGTTCATTCAAGTGGCATATCATGTGGAAATTTATTGCAGCCAAATACTCTAAATGCATGTTTCGACATGCGGAGGGAAAAACTAGAGGAGCCGGAGAAAATTCGCTTTGAGTGTGATTGTTGGAAATGTTCGCCGTTTAAATCCGGCGGCCGCCCCGGTTAATACTGCCGGTATAATGAACCGGTAAAATACGCACTGGCTGCTTTCACAGTGGACGTTGAAGATCCAATGACGTTATTCCAGCCAGCACACATGTGGGGCCACGTGTGTGCCGCCGTCATCGCCCAAATCTACCATCTTCTTGGTTCTTTCGGTAAAGTCACGTAGAAGTGAAATAATTGAATAATAAAAATAAAACATAAAATACAATTCTCACGACGTTTCGGCCACAACGCAAGCAGCCGTCCTCAGGTGAAGAACAGGTCTGTCGGAAAGACAGCGTCTGAAGTTGTATTTTATTATGTTTTGTTTTTATTATTTTATTATTTCCCTTCTACGTGACTTTACCGAAAGGACCAAGAAGATGAATCCCTGCAGTCACTGAAAGCTTTAAATCGAAATTAAAATCTACCATATCTGCTAAATTGCTCACAAATGACTGAATTGGGAAGCTACGTTGCAACATCGCCCCCTGCCAGTGGCCTCAATGCCCACCTGCTGGCCGGTGCTGCATTTACTTTGTGCCTCACAGAGACAGCTGCCACTGGGGGGGTCTCTTCCCCCCACCCCGAGACACCTAGTTCTGCGTGGCTATGTTCAACTTCTTCCGCACTGTTCTTAGCCAACGGTGCTAATCGAAGGTGCGGGGGAAAGACGACAAACTAAACTCAAAAAGCAGTTCTAAAGAAATTCGTTTTCAATCTAGATTTAAAAGTGCATAGGTCCGGTAGCTTCCTAATTTCGGAAGAGCGTTCCAGACGGCCGCAGAAACGCATCTTGAAAGCGCGCGTTGCAATAACCAAAAGGCGCTGCGAGGATGACCGCAGTTCTATTGATGGTTTATGGTCCTTGATGAGATCAGCAAAGTATCGTGGTTCATTTGTGGCAAGCACTTTTGAGTGCAGTATATTTAAGTTGGGCAGATGATTTTGCCGACGTTTTGCCGAATCCTCATCTCATCACCTCCCCCTCCCTCCTGCGCCTACCCACGTGCCCAGCGCCAGCCTTGGGAGACAGCGTGGCGGATTTCGGCAGCCTCGGACTAAAGGAGCCCACCCAGTCGCGGCTCAGTCAGTGGACAGTAAGCTCCGGGATGGACTCTCTGCCCGGCGGAATGCACTCCTTGGACCAGGGGCACGGCAAGTCAGGTCAATTCCTTGTTTGCACGACAACTCCAGGTTTTTCCCCAAAAGGATCCAGCCAGCCATGGTCACTGCACTCGGCCTCACACACACGCACACCCTGACCGTCACCCGCACAAACCCTCACATGCCCTAGGTCGCTTGCTCGCTCACTCACTCACTCACCCACCCTAACCCACTTGCACCGCCACACTCGTGCGCCCTCACTCGGGCTCCCACACTCACCTTGTCACACTCTGCCTCGCACAATCCCACTCCTTCGATAAGCACAGTTGGCTATGTACAGTGCAAAAGAAGTTCAAAATACAGGGACTCTTATACTTACGAACGGGTTAGGTTCCAGAGGTCTCTTCGTAAGTCGATTCTTTCCTAAGTCCAACTTTACTCACATGTTGTACGGCATGTACACTAAACACGGGGAATGGCTTTTGAAAGTTGTATCATCTCCTGTAGATGTAGATGCCACCGGTCCTTCACGTTCGGCAGATGTAGATGCCACCACCGCCATCTGTTGTGTGGCAATTGAACTTATGAATCTCGGTCCGAACAGGCAACTGGCCATACAGACAAGTTTGTTCGTATCTCTGAAAGTTCGTAAGTCGAGGAGTCTTAGTGCTTACTAATCCTGGTCCACACTTTCCCTTAAACACTCGGTCGGCACGCTCTCTCGGACGCTCGCCCTCCAACCAACACATTCTCCTGAGCCCTGCTTCTTGCGTACCAGCTCATTTGCTCTTCGCCCGCACCCTGTGGCTCGCGCGTTGTCACCGCACACTCGACCCTGACACGCGCTAGCCCACCTGTGCACACCCATATAGCTCCACCCTTTTAACAACAACCGAAGTTGAGAACTTTTAGAAACTTGACACTGCTGTACACGACGCTGTTATTCACAAACGGTCACGCCATGCTGATGGAATGCTTTTACCGTGATGGAATACCGGCCCTGGTTCCACGCTGGCGCAAGTGCATATGTACGCAAGGATGCATCGGTTAAATAACTAGCATAGAAGGCATTCTTTTAAGGCAGGGGTGGGGAACCTTTTCCTTACCGAGTAGGTGGAACAGGACTTTCAAATACCTTTGCTAGGCCACGCATTAACACACACGTACACCTCGGTGGATGACTTGCCCCGTGCTGAAATTATTAACTCTGTGTTGTTGCCAGGTCAAACATATTCCCCTCTAGTACCTGATGAGTGCAGCTAAGATGCTCGGAGTGACGCATAAACATCATTTGTGAGACTTTCGTTTGAAGTGGTAGGCCTCGTGTGGCCACGGGCCATGCGAGGTGGACATGAAGTCACGGGCCCTGTAAAATTAGGTTCACAAAGGCCATAAGTTCCCTCTCCTGATATAGGCACATCGGCTAATTATTTTACACGAAGTCAACCCATTTGTAAATAACACTATGACCTTAAAAGGATAACATCAATACTAAGTAGGGCCATCGCCCAGAACGTGTTGTATATTTTTCCTGTTACGTTTTGTTTTAGATCACGGCGGAACAATCGAATTTGTCTAATGAATCTTTGAGTTAACTCGCTTGCCTCGTCTCGTCTCCTGTGTGGCCGTGCGCGCAAAGCAGTGAGCGGGCTGGCCAAGCTCTCGCTGGACGACCAGGCCTTCGGCCCTTACTCGATGCTGCAGGGCGTCGGCGACGACCCGGCTAGCCCTCTAGCGCCACTCGCCAACGGCTGGGGCAACACCAAGCCCGGGCATCCTCCCCCGTCTTCGTCATCCTCGTCTTCATCCTCCTCCGCCTCCTCCTCGTCCTCCGTGTCCGACAAGCACCCACACAGCCCCACCCCGGCACCCGTGGGCTGGCCTCCAGGTGATCGGACGGATCAAAAACAATGCGTAGACATAAATTATGAACACAAATGAAATGAACGGTTTTGATTTAAAGCTTTCGTGACTGCAGGGATTCATCTTCTTGGTTCTTTCAGTAAAGTCACAGTAGAAGGGAGATAATAAAGTAATAAAAATAAAACATAATGTTTTAAAAATAAAACAATGTTTTAAATAAAACAAATGAACGATGTCGTTATGAGTACCAGTGGTAGAGTTGCACACATCTTCCCCCCCCCCCTGACTGACACGGATTTTCCCCCGCACACTTTGCATGCTACCGTTCCACCCACCCCCCCCCCCCCCCATGTGTAGAGTTCCGCCCCGGTGAGCCGTGGAAAGGACTGCAGCACGGGCAAAGCGACGCGGAGTCCAACCTGACCCCTGGAGGAGGAGCCGCATTACTCAGGGACAGGGGCGCAGGCAAGGGCACGACACGTCACTCTCGTACCTTTCTTGTTGAGCCCGAACGGGACCACCGTGGTACGTGGTTATTATTTCCGCTAGCGATTTGTTGCGCCGAGCCCAGAACCAAACGGTGATACGCGCGGGCCTTGCAAGATGTCTAAATCTAGCTCGGGTGCCAAGCAGAGCCAGCAGCGGGTTGGGGTGGCTAATGACATGTCGGTAAAACCAAAAAACCGTGTCACCCGCGCGCCATCTGCACGTGACTCGACTCGTCCATTGTGGGGTGACGTCAGCCGTACACTGACACCGCAGCTCCTGGAGTCCTGCTAGGCTAGCTCGGGCACAGTGCCGGCACGGTGGAGGAGAGAGGGTCAGTGGTGTGAAAGATGTTTTACGTAGGCACGTGCAAGCCCACTCTCCCCCCCCCCCCCCTTCTTTAAACTCGGGTACACTGTGTTGGGGACTAAGGTTCTTGAAGTTTCTGTACCCGCCCCCTCCCTTCATTGCGATTTGTACTCCGTACCGGGCTCCAATTAAAATATATTTGTTTTTAAAGTAGGCACGTGCAGATCCACCCTCCTCTCTCCACGACTCCATGAATCCGTCACAATTCTCTTGGGGTTCCTGTTGAGAATCTCAAGTGGATTCTTTTTTTTACGTTCTCGTGGTTTGTGTCAAACGGAGTTCTTCAATTGGTGGCCCCTGGGAACGGATCTGGCTTTTCGAGGGGCCCGCCGAGACGTACAGATGACAGATTTTTAGATGAAGAGAGGTGAACAAGGGAGAGATATTAGAGCTGTAGGCACAACATGAAGGTGATCTCTTGTCCGCAGCTCTAGAGCCACAACTTTGGAAGTTGGGGCATTCCACTAACGATTGGTTCCCAAGTGGTGATTGCTTATATTACAGTGCCGCAGGATCATAGGCGTCGCCCATAATAGGGCCGCAGACAAGTGGCCTTCTCCTGTGCCGTAATTATATTGAATCTGCAGAACTACTGGCTACAAACTCAGCACTGCGCTGACTTTCTGTGCACTGCTGTGTTTTTAAAGGTTCCAACATCAGCACACGGGGGCCTTGATGTCACCTTGTTCAATAGATTAGAATACGGACTCGATAACACCAGGATTTTTGTCCACTTTTTTATTGTTGCCTTGTAGTCATATCTGCACGTGTCTCCTAGCCACATCTACACGTGTTGTGGGTGTCTCCTATCCACATCTACACGTGTAGTGGGTGTCTCCTAGTCATGTCTAGTCACGTTGTGGTTGTCCGTACACCCCCCCCCCCCGACACCCCTGGCGCCACCACTAACTCTTTATCGGCCGCTGTTTGTGCAGGGTCCATGTCGTCGTCATCTCTCAACGCCACAACGCTGCCTTCCTCCAGTGCCTGGTCCCTCGGTGCCTCTGGCCACAGCCACCGCAATGGCTTCATCCCCTCGTTCTCTGCTGCAGGTGCTGTGGGGCCTGATGCTCTCATCCCGTTTATTCTTTTTAAAAAAATGTATTCACTCGCTGAACGCGTTGCGTCGTTAGGTGCGCCCCGCCAATAACCAAATCGCCCGAAAGCTAAGCTGGGTTGAGCCGGGACTGTGCTTGGATGGGTGACCACCACCATTCTAGATTTGAAGCTTTCGTGACTGCAAGGATTCAAACTCTTAGTTCTTTCGGTAAAGTCACGTAGGTAAAAAATGAAATTAAAATTAATCAAAAATAAAAAAAAACAATAAAATCACGACGTTTCGGAGGCAACACAAGCTTCCGTCTTCAGGTGAAACTGTCACAGCAAAAAATCTTGATACAGATTTTTTGCTGTGACAGTTTCACCTGAACACGGAAGCTTGTGTTGCCTCCGAAACGTCGTGATTTTACTTTTTTATTTTTTATTAATTTTAATTTCATTTTTTACCTACGTGACTTTACCGAAAGAACTAAGAGTATGACCACCACCATGTCTGAAACAGGCATTTTTGGGCTGCTGTGGGGCTATGTTGCCAGCAGATGGCAGCAGTGCAGCAAGATCCGGTGTTGCCCTGTGCTCTGCTGCAACCCAACCTCTGTGCTCCCCACCCCATCAATTATCACTGGGTAATGTGTGGTGAAGTATGGTCAATAAACCCTTACGGACCCACGCAGCGTCGGGTAGCCGTCATCCAGCAGTAGATTGATGAGAGGGCTGTACATGTACATCCATAGCATTCCATATATTCACACTCGGTTATGCATTAGAGCTCCCCCTTATACTGGTAGGAACCTCCTGGTTACACCAGCCCACGGGATTATTGTTTCGTGCAGGGAGGGGCTGTGTGGGGAGGGAGGGGCTGGGTGGGGAGGGGAGGGTGCGGAGGGGCTGGGTGCGGAGGGGCTGGGTGGGGAGGGGCTGGGTGGGGGGTGGGGCTGGGTGGGGGGGTGGGGCTGGGTGGGGGGTGGGGCTGGGTGGGGGGTGGGGCTGGGTGGGGGGTGGGGCTGGGTGGGGGGTGGGGCTGGGTGGGGGGTGGGGCTGGGTGGGGGGTGGGCTGGGTGGGGGTGGGGCTGGGTGGGGGGTGGGGCTGGGTGGGGGGTGGGGCTGGGTGGGGGGTGGGGCTGGGTGGGGGTGGGGGGTGGGGGGCTGGGGTGGGTGGGGGTGGGCCTGGGTGGGGGGTGGGGCTGGGTGGGGGGTGGGCTGGGTGGGGGGTGGGGCTGGGTGGGCGGTGGGGCTGGGTGGGCGGTGGGGCTGGGTGGGCGGTGGGGCTGGGTGGGCGGTGGGGCTGGGTGGGCGGTGGGGCTGGGTGGGCGGTGGGGCTGGGTGGGCGGTGGGGCTGGGTGGGGAGGGGCTGGTCACTCCGTGGTGCCCTTATAAAACTCAACGTTTCACCTACTCACGCTGGCTTGTGCCCGCCCTCACAGTTGTCCATATTTGCGGAATACACCACGCCGCCGTTGACCCTGGCCATTGACCGAGCAACCCAACGTTCCTACCAGCTCCCTCCGCAGGAATGTGTTGATTGGCCACAGCCTATCCTGTTCAGAGCTAGAATATTCACTATCCTCCTACCCGCCACCAAGATTACTACAGAACTGTGTTGACAATGCCTAGCGTAGCGCACACTTAATCATCTGTCGGGTCCTTACTGCCTTGGTGTAATGGTCAAGCCACACTGGACTTATCATACAGAGTGTCGCCACATAGCAGGATGAATGAGTAACATCACAGTCAATCGGTAAGGTCGTGCGTGTTGAGGAAAAGTGTGGGGACTCCCATCTCTTCCAAGATATTTGGCCAGTGTGGATGAGTAGGCCAAATACTCTCTAGAGGGGCTCTCTGCAGAGCTTCCTCCAGTGGAGGGGAGACCCTTCCGCCAGCATTGGCGTTTGCAAGCAGTTGCAGGGCTGCACTTTTGCCCGTGTCTTCACGTGAACTGCACCACTCACTCCCTGCTGTTCCTTTGCATCTGACGTGCCCCTCATCCCCCCCCACAAACTCTTACAACCCACCCACAATGCCCCCCTACCCACAACCCCACCGCCGCAACCCCACCCACACAAACATCTTCCTCCACAGCCAAAATCTCAGAGGCGAAGTCGGCGTGGACTCCCGGCGCGTCCCTGAGCCACGAGTTGTGGAAGGTGCCGCTGAACGGGGGGGGCCGCGGGCTGTCCGGTGGGCCTCGGCCACCGCCGGGCCTTCCCGGACTCCGGCAGCCGTCGCTGTGGCCCTCGGGACGCTGGGAAGGCACTGAGGCAGGTCGTCTCCCGCCGCCAGGTGAGGAGGAAGAGGAGGAAGAAGAGGAGGAGGCGGCGCTGTAACGAGTACATTAGAAGTAGTAATAGGTTTTTACCCTTTTAACTGGTACAAAATCTGACACCTTTATACAAGGCATCATGTTTGCAATAACCTCAACACAAGAAGTCAAAATGCAAACAAAAAGAAACAACTCTGATGATGATAATGATATGCACTGTCCTTGAAGTTGATTGGTCCACACCCGAGACAGCTTTCTTTAGAGCCTAGTCTCCACTGGTGTTGGACCAGATGACGCCAAAAGGCGTACAACTCAAAGACAGTGCACTATCAGAGTATTGAAAGCTCGGGGTAAGCATTTACACTATGAGATCTCCATTAGAAGGTCGCACTCGTTACACACGGACGTCAAGTGGCGGATTACGGTGTTCAAGTAGATCGTACGACTCGGTCGACTAAATCGTTCCTAAGCTGTGGCCTTCTCCCCAATCGCTTTCAAGTCGACACGACGTTGCGATCTCCCCTTGTGTTTCTCCTCTTGCCTCCCGTCTCCGAAGCGTCGAGTTGGAGCGGCGATTCCTGCGGCGGTGGCGGCGGCGGCGGCCTGGGTCGTTCCAGCACCTGGCTGGTGCTGCGCAACCTCACCCCGCAGGTAACGAGGGAGGGGGGGGGGGGGCGGAGGGTGGTGGGGGGGGTGGGGGTCGCGCGGTTTCGACCACTTAACCGCCCGTCAGGAGCTTCCTCGACCTCCTGCCGTGGCCGCAAGGTTGGGGTGGGGGGGGACCCTTGGCCATGGTTGCTATTGAACAGCCCCCGGTTAAAAGCGCCGCTGATGAAGTCGCCCCCAGAAGGCGGGGGGGTGCCCCCCGCTCTTCTCAGAAACTTCAGGAGCTTTGGCAGCGTCGAGCCCTGGGTACTGCCGGTATAGGCGACCGCCACGCGCATGAACAGGTTGCCACGGTTCGCCGGGGGGGAGTAGGGGGGGGACAGTGCAACAAAATAATTGTTTTTCTCGCATCGAATTTGCCTCGGGGGAGTCGAATTTCTACTTGCTCGGTGCAAGTGTCATTTATTTTTAAAAATTGGTCTTCACGTCAAATCTGTTTTTAGCCGACCTTGGGGGCTGACCAGAGGATGGAGGCGAGGATGCAACGTCAGCGGCATCAGTCGCGACAGCTCTTTGACCTTTGCGGGTGAGCGAGGAGCACCTTGCGAAACGTTTACCCCGTCGCCTTCCGACCTTACCCCCCTCCCCCCGTGTCGCGTTTGCGCGAATTGCAGATCGACGGCTCGACGCTGCGCACGCTGTGCATGCAGCACGGCCCCCTCATCACCTTCCACCTGAGCCTGGCGCACGGCAACGCCCTCGTGTGCTACAGCTCCATCGCCGAGGCGGCAAAGGCCCAGAAGTCCTTGCACATGTGAGTACGAGGGGGTGCGTGCGTGCGTGCGCGTTAATGACTTGGGGGTGTCCGTTACCCGCTCGTGTGTTTACTCGTTTGTGAGCATGCCTCTGTCTGCAATGCAATGTCGTGGTGAGCTGGAGTGTAACGGTTGGCGCACTGCGCTACGAACCCAGTTGGCCAGAGTTGGATTCCTGCTCATCGCCAAAACCAATTACGAATATTTGAACCGGTCCTGGGCGTCCCCTAGGTCGACTTGGCCTCAAATGAATAGCTGTTGCGGTGTGTAAACATCGCCACTGGGGACACAGGCAGTTGGGCGCGGTGCTATCCACCCACCCGCTCGTGTGCCGTGCTCGCGAACATCACTTGCCCCAACGTTTTGTTAAGGCTATACGGGGGATCTTTGCCTCCGTTGTCTGCAATTTCAGCGTAGCGGCTAGTGTGCCGCGCTACGAATCCGGCGACCCGAGTTCAATTCCTTCTCATGGCCAGCATTGGCGGCTGATATTTGAAAACCAATCCCGGGCACCCGCCTGTGTGCGCCTGCTGCTGCGCTGTTTATACATCGCATCCCAGCATCGTGCGGTGCATCTATAAACTAAGCCACCGTGTAGCAGCTTACCTCGCGAACACGAGCTCTTATTGTCCTCACGTATACACGTCGTGGCTGCCCTCCCCCCACTCCCCCCCACCACCCACGTGGCCCAGGTGCGTGCTGGGAAACACCACCATCGTGGCGGAGTTCGCCACCGACGAGGAGATCAGCCGTTTCTTCTCTCAGCCGGGACATTCGGCCGCCCCGGGCTGGCCGCCGGCGCCCGGCCCAGCGCCGTCCTCCAACCTCGACTCGGTCAACGGCGGCCAAGGTCAAGGCCGGGGGCCCGTGTCGGCCGACAACTGGAGCGTGGGCGACGAGGGGGGCGGCACCGGCTCCCTGTGGGGCGTGCCGTCCCCGTACAATTCGGCGGCGCCGTCCGCCGGCGCCGGCATGTGGGGCGGCGGCAACGGCAACGGCGGCAACGACGGGACGCGTGGCAGGCTCGGCAGCCCGCCGCCACCTCCCCTGAATTCTTTCTTGCCCGGGGACCTGCTCGGAGGGGAGGCCATGTGAACGCCCCGTGTGGATTTTGGTCGGCGGCGGCGGGGGAAGGCTTAGAAAGTTCCGCGAGGGGGGTGCCCCGGCGGGTTTGCTGGCGGGGGGGGGGTTGGTGTTGGTGGGAGGGACGGGGCGGAGAGGACTTTGGCGCCAGCTTCTTCGCGCCTCCTTCGACCGACGCCTTCCGAGACGGCGACCGCCGCCGCCGCCGCCACCGCCATCGTTTGGTGGGGACGGGGACGGGGGGAGCGACATGGAACGACGCGCAGGAGGGACGTTTGTCCATTTCTCACGCAAATGACAAAACAACAAAAGAAAAAAAGAATTGACCTGAATCATTCTCATCACTTATAGCACTTTCTGTGGGGACAACAAAAAAAAACAGATACTATGAATACTACAGTGTCATTTCAGTGACTTCATAATCTCGATTTTCACACTCGCACTCGGCTGTGGTTGAGAGGATGCCGCAGCCCAGTCTCTTAATACCTTTTTGTAGAAAGGATTTCGTACGTGACTTTACTGGTTCGAGCGTTTACGCTTGACGTGCAAACACTATGGTTTGGAAGCCAATGGATGTGGAATGGAAAGTGAAACGAACACATTACAAACGAGGGGGAGTTGGTTGGTCCGGGGATGGGGGTTTGTATTTTACTTTTCCAATGCCTTGCGGGTGGGTGTAGTGGGGGGGGTGCGAGCCAAATCCACAGCTTGTAGTGAACACTCGCACACACACGCACGACACACACTCTTCCCCTGTTTGCAAAAGATAGGGAGCCAGTATATGTATTAGTACAGTACATTCCTTTCCCTGCTGCTTACGCCCCCCTCTCACCTTATTTAGTAGCCCCCCCCCCCCCCCCACACACAGTGCCGTGGGCCACTCTGTCTGGGTCACGAGCATATACCGCACAAGTCATTCAAACGCCGTGGCAGAATCCCGCAAGAAGCCGAGACGAAACAGGCCCCGGGCATCTTCCTCCAATGCCACTGGAAACTCCCCCGCCCGCCCGCCCGCCCCTTCCTTTACCTACCCTCACTCACTGGGGCAGGTGGCAGCAGCAGTGGTGGAGTCGCAAGAATCCCTGTGACCCACAAACTCTACGTCGCTAGTCCACCCCAGACTGATCACGTCCTCTGTCTCTTCTCTCCCCCTCCCCCGGGTCCGCCCCCGCTCCTCGCACCTAGACTCCCCACACGTCTCTCTCTCTCTCTGTCCACCCGGCACTCTCGCACGCCGTCCTCTTTGCAGGTTCACCGAGTCCTCGCTACTACTGCTACTCTATGCTCCTATGCAAAAATGGCCAGAGAGGCATTGAGATTATACAAATGCCGCCGGTACGATTGCACACAAAACCCTCCCTCGCGAGTCTTCTGTGAAATTCTAGATGCTTGGAAAAAAACGTTCTCAAAAAAAAAACTTAACTTGGAGCGTGCATAGTTTACAAGACCCTGGCGTTTGAGCAACAACGGGTTGGTGCCACGTGCGTGGCAAATCAAACTGCGGACTGTTTAGGCGGAAGCCAGCCACTAAGCCGGATTTTTGTGGGTGGGTGGGAGTGGTGATGAGGTGGCGGCGGCGGCGGCGGTCGGATGCCGTGGCAGTTTGAACAGATGTCACGCCGTGCACGCCGCGTGTGGTTCATTTGACGGAAGACGCCCGACAGCAGCTTCACATTGCCTTGGACATTGCAAATTTGGTGTTCAGCTCGAGTCGTCCACTGCACTGCCACACGCCGAGAGGAGAGAGGCCTCTTCACGCACGGCAGCGAAATCCACGTGGCACTACGGGAGGTGCCGGGTGGGGGGGGTGGGGGTTCAGCCGGTGTTCAGGTCACTGCGCTTGTTGACAGCACCGTTTCTTTTCTGCAAGCAATTGTGCGTCGGGGGCCACCGCGCTCTGCCCCCCCCACCTTCCCCCCACCTTCCCCCCACCTCGCCCCCCAGCATTGGCGGAGGGTCTCTCCGTTGCGCAGGCGCGGGGGTTGGGGTCCGTCCGTCTCATTCGCATCGTCACGTCCGTTCTCCCCTGTGCGGCTTTCTCAGTCCTTACCGCAACGGGGTTGCAAACATCTCGAATCATCTTCTCCAAAGTGCTCGCAGTTTCCAACTTAAAAAAAAAGAAATGAGAAATTTTTAAACAAAAAAAAACTTTTCTGACTTTCGTTTTGCTTGTGCTTCTGTAGTGCAGTAGGCTGCTCTGGTTGTGTGTAAACGTTGCAGTATCTTGTTTGAGCTGAAGCCAATCGAGCCCTACTTTCTCTCTACAATAGCAATCATACGGGGGCCGCATTTCGCAGAATGTAAAGTTTATCGCTGGTATCTCAACAGGTTGGGCTTTGGAGTTGAGAATCAGGACACTTACGTGAGCACACTGGTGATTTTCAAAGCCTGTGGTTATGACCATCATCTTCTTGCATCCAAAACATATCGAGTCCAATACTTGAATCATTCAGGCCAAATAAAAAGTGAAAAAAAAGTTTTTGGGAGGGGTTTTTTGATGTTGATGAAAACCACATGAATAGCGCTGAGCCGGGTACAGCTCGGCAAGCAGCAGAAGAAGAAAAATCCTTTAGATTCCTTAGAGGACACATTTTTTTTCGAGTAGTAATTAGTAAGTGTGTGGTGTACTTGGTTAGGCGATGTGTCGTGGTTCTCGGCGTCGTCGGTGTCGTTGCGCTGTACAGACGCGGCGGTGACTCGCCACCGTGGGCTCGTGTTGTCGATGATCGGTTCTTGGCAATGCACTGAGTGCATCGCTGCCAAGCGATGCACGCTGAAGGAACCCTTTTCCCCTCTCCCCCTGCAAAGCGGACGCTTCACGTTTAAAACGCAGTTTACTTGAGTGTTTTAATCACAGTTGTTATAACTTCCCCCAGTTTCGTTTTAGTTGATAACTTAACTCGCCCCCCTACCTCTCCACCCTCCCCCCCCCCCCAAATTTTAGTTAATCTCCCATCACTTATGAAGGTGTTAGACCGTGAGAGCTCCAAGCTCCAAACCTAATGCTACGTTGTTTTGTTCAATTTCCCGAAGAGGAGGAGGGAAAAAACTTAAACGAAACTTTGAAAGAGGAAGAAAAAAAGTTTTACGTTACGAAAAAAAATGGGGAAAAAAAGTTGAAAATCTAAAAAAAAAATGTAAACGCTGTCGTCGTCGTCGTCATCATCGTCGATCGTGGTGAAGCTTTTGCACCATTCTCGTGGAGTGGCGGTGAATGAGAAGTTGGTAATCAATGTGCACTTGAGAGAGAGAGAGCGAGAGAGTAGCATTGCTACCCCCCCCCTCCCCCCTGGTCAGAGAAGAATGAAAGCTTTTTTTTGAGAATTAAAAAAAAGCAAAGCAAAGCACTTGCAGAAGAGCCCTGGATGTAAGTTGGGAGGAGCCTGAAAGATTCCAGGCACCCTCTTGTTTACAGAACTTTCTTCCTGGATCTTGAGCTTTCACTCGTTACAAAAAAAAGACTTTTTAGTTAAAAAAGAGAAATTCAACAACGCCCCCCCCCCCTACCTGTACGGCCAAGTCACCCACACGGTACACGGTTGCGGGAAGAATAAAAGAACATACGACCTTGGAAGTGTGAACTGTTGTCGAAGCCATTGGATGGGATCCCTGTCATTTGGTTTTCCACCAAAAAAAAAAGCTGAGCGAGCGAAGGAAAAAAAAATGTTGTTGTCATTATTATTTAAGAAGAAGAAGAAAAAGAATTCTGAAGCAAAGAGAAATAAAACTCAGGTTCCCATCAGAGAGAAGGCGTCATTCTCTGAACCCTTTATAAACCTCCCGCCATTAAAAAAAAACAATGGTGATCCTCTGCTGCGTTGTAATGTTGCATTAACGGTAATCGCCTGCCAAAACGTGTGGAGCCCAAGTCCCCCCCCCCCCCCCCGTAGCACGCGTACCCCCGTGAAGGTTTTGGTTGCATTCTATAACGGGAGGTGGCAAGCCCCCATCGGTCCTCCGTAAGCTTGTTTTCTCGCGACCACTGCAGCCACAACTGTCGCCGAGTCTTAATAATCATTTGGTTCTTTTTCTCGCAAGTTTATTGGGGGGGTGGGGGGTTGCTTTCTTTGTTTGCTGCCATAAACGTGCGCGAAGTGTTAGTCCCGTTTTGCACATTTCGGTACAAGAAATGGGGAAAATTTAAAACAAACCTTTTCCAAACAACGCTGTGGTGGTGGTGGTGGTCGTGCAAGCTCTCTAAGTTGCCTGCAGCACTTGCGCCGTGCATGTAATAAGGGGACCGGTTGTTTTTGGCACCTCCTGCTTAGAATTAAATCTCGCTTGAACCGACCGGCTATGTGGTTGTGTGCCGACAAAAAGTGCAAAGTTTTTCAATCATGCTTTACTTGTTTGTTTATTTGATAGTATTAGTGGACAAAAATGAAGGTTTGTTACTTGTTACAAGTGCACTGCCGACACGTTTTTTTTGTTTGGAGTTTTTATTTTATAATTATTATCATCACCAAGTTGTGGATTATTCGATGTCCCCCTGCAAGGGAATTTCGCGTTGGTGTTGAGCGCGTGTGGTTAGGTTTCATTGCCGATTTCTTTGGCTGCTGTGTGCTTATGGAAAAAAAAATAAGGCTGCTGTAGCAAACTTAGCGACTCTAGAGAGACTATGCATAATTGAAGTTCAAAAAAGGAGACGACAAAATATGTACAAATGTTTTTGCCGTTACCCGTTGTTCGCGCGACTCGTTTTCAACTCGGAAGTGTGGTCACACGAGCACGTGAGAGGGGTAACGTACGTATGGTATAGTAGGGTTATAAACAACAACAACAACAAAGTGATCACTTAATTTACACCCGGGTTTAGAGGGACAGGCGTTTGTGAGCAAGAGAAAAAAAATGATGTTTGACTTGAAACTCCATGAGGCGTCAAAGATGATGATGCTGCCTTGTCAAGAAACGAGACCTCGACTAAACGGCGCGGAGTTTGGTGCATTTAAAACGTCGATTAGGTACTTACAACAAACAGAACGTGTTTTTTTTTGCTGATTGAGAATGTTACCATAATGTGAAGCAGTTACAGTACTTTAAAAGAAGTTGACTCATTTTAAGAATAAATGTCTTGCTTAGCACACGTTTAGTTTCTCTGTGGCTCCTTGTATTAACGTGCCAAATTTTTGCCAGTGTACGATAATGCTTACGGCCTGTGTTGCGAAATAACGAGTGTTGAAAGCAGCATAAATGTGGGTACTGTGCATGCGTGTTTCTTTCTTGTGTGGCTGTGTGTGTGTGCGCTCACGTACGCATGTGTACGTCGGAGAAGGAGGAGGCTTACCGCAGCCTTCGCTCGGAGGTTTTGAGAGCCGTGCGGCGCTGCAATGATGGGCGGTGGTCACGGGTTGCTGAGGAGATAGAGTTTGCCTCAGTAGCCTGCGATCACCTCTAACTCTAACTCCTTCAAAAAAGGAACTTTCGGTGCCGCACCTATCACAATCATTAGGGGAAAGAAAGGTGATCCGATCTCTGACCCCCAGGAACAAGCTTGCAGATTTGCTGAACATTTCTGTGAGGTCTTGGGGGAGGGGAAATCCCTCGGCCTGGAAAACATCATGGGGCAAAGTGGGGATGACCCTGATGAGGCTGTGGTGCCCTCAAATATTGGAACAAGTAGTCACTCCCTGTGAGTGGCTGGCTGAAGTGCCATCTGTTGAAGTACAGAAGGTCATCCAGAGTCTGAGACCAGGACAAGCACCGGACTGAGATGATCTCCCAAGCGAAATTCTGAGGGAGGGTGGCGTCTGTGCGCAGACTGCCCTATATGACATAACAGCGAACCACCGGATGGGTTCCACAGAATTGGAAGGATGCCCTGGTGGTTCCCCCTCTTTAAGAAGGGGGACCGCACAGACTGTAACAACTACAGGGGCATTTCCATCCTAAGTGTGCCGGGAAGGTCTTGGCAAGGATTATTCAACATCGCCTTGCCAGGCACGCAGAGGAGAGGCTTGCGGAGCCCCAATGCGGTTTCAGGAAGGGGCGGTCCTACACAGATGCCATGTTTTCTGTCCCGTCTGCTCGAGCAGAGGTGTAGGAAATTCCAACAAGACCTACATCTCTGCTTTGACCTGGTCAAGGCCTATGTTACCATCAATAGGCCTGGGCTCTGGGTTCATCGTGCTTTCGGAGTTGCTGACTGCTTACAATCATCAAAGACCTTCGTGATGGTGAGCAGGCCCGAGTAAAACTACGTGACTGGGAGTGAACCATTCCCTGTTCACCTTGGGGTGCGACAGGGGTGTCCTCTGGCTCCCACATTTAACATTTCGACCACGTAGTTAATGAAGCCTTTGATGGCTGTATCGGAGAAATTGCCATCTGGTACAGATACAATGGGTGGCTGATCAATGCCCGGGTGTGGTTAAGGGATGCCTCCCTATTGATCAACCATGTTATACATGCCAATGATTTTGTTGATTGCTGCTCAAGAAGAACTGGAGGCACTGCTGCTGAACCTGGAGCTTGTCACTCAGAGGTGGGGCCTTACCGTCAGCCCCACCAAAACTAAGCACTTGCCTGGATATTTTGTGCCATCAGACACTCCACCCCCCCACAACTCCCAATTGGTAATGGGGCAGTTGTGGAGAATTTACCATACCTTTGGCAGTGTACTCATGACCGGCTCTGCTTTTACAGGAGAGGTCTCTGAATCGGTCAAGTGGCATTATTTTGTCATCGGCTGTGTAATGTGTGAAAGCTACCTGGCTGGTCGTTCCACATAAAGCTTCGGGTCTTCTTGGCCACAGTTATGCCCTCTCGTCTCTGCTTGTGAAACGTGGACCCCCCCCCCCCCTAATGGAGCATCTTCGCCGGTTAAAAACATTTAGGCTGGCCTGCCTACAATCCATCATGGGTTTAACCAGGCTGAATTGTGTGAAAAGCCCACAAATCCTTGAAAGATCTGGAAAAAGTCCCATCGGTGAGCTCCAGTAGAGAAGGTCGCGTTGGCTGGGTCATGTAGCTCGCATGCGCGAACAGCTTTTGTACGGCCGGATCGAGGGGGATGTGGTACAAGAGGATGTGGAACTGAGTGGACTTGCTGGTGACTGGTACCAGCGGTGTAAAGATCGGCCTTTGTGGCAAGAGGATCATTGAGGACACTACTGGGCAGTGGGAGGCAGTCACCCTCCAGCAACAGAGCAGAAGAGTGACGTTCACAACAAAGAGTGGAGCTCTCCTGGATGGCGAAAACGCAGGAATGTGACACTGGGGGTGAACATTTTCCGGTCGGTCAACTCGCCCACAACCACCAGTCTTATCCCTCGACCGACTACCAGCGAGCCTTTGCCCCGCCCCGTATTTGGCCTCAAAGTGCACCTTTCCTGGCGCAGGCCTTGTAATGACTGCACCGTCACTTGGTGGGTAGACCAGAGGGTCGGCAACCGAAGTAATGAGATGGAGACATTTTATCCAAATGTCGGTTGAGCGAATCAACAATTTCAAGAGGCCGCGACGTGGCGACTCGCGGTGGCCCCTTGCAGAACGTCCCGAAGCGGTTCTGAATAGGGCCGCACGCAGGCTACGGAGTCCGCAGGTTTCGCGCCCCCCGTGGGTCAACCCAGGAGAATTGGCTCCTGCACAGCACGCACGGACGGGGCAGTCGCTCTTTTTCCCCATTTCTTTGCCCCAGAGACACCGCTGGAGCAGTGGCGGCTCCTGCAAAATCTCTCAGGGGGGGCAAATGTCTGGATGATTGATAAGGATAAGGTCCACCCATGCAATGGATAAATTAACAGCTTAAGCATGTAAAGGCAACTTCACTTCTTTAATATTAATGAAAAATAAAGTGACTCACAATACATCTTGTTTGTTTCTATACTCACTATTAAAACAAACCACTCAAGTTTATTTTATTAAAGATTCCACTAGGTGGCAACAAATTATATTGTTGGATGAAACGTGCTTACGTATGATGACGTAAGCACGTATGATGACGTAAGCACGTTAGGGCGAGCCCTCCCGGAAGCCATAGAGAATGCATTGCAGCGCCCCCGTTCGAAAAAAAACATCTTTGAATGCAAGTCTATGGGGCCACTCGGGGCGATTCTCAGCCGGAGTGAAATCGCCCAAAAAGAGGCGGTACTCCACAGAACGTGACATGACGCTGATTGGACTATATCCAGAGGATGCACAGTGACGGCTAGCGTGACTCTGTGGTTGAATGACATTGGTGGTGCGTCACCCAATCGCCCTAATGAAGAAACCGCCCCTGCGCTGGAGGATGCGTCGTCGAGCTCGAAGGAGGGTGGTAGGCCCAGGACCAGTTCCGTTCAAGCCGTGACTTGGACTCGAACTCTGGATTTGTGGGTTCGTCGTGCGGAGTGCGATCCACCGCGTCGCTGCTTCGACACTGCAATATAAAACAAGTATAACCCGTAAAAACAAAGTTTTTCACTATAAATCCTTTATATGCGTGGCGGCTAGAGTCCTCTCGTCCTCTGGCTTGAGATGGCTGCCACCTATGGGTCAGATGGCAGCATTAAGCAATTGATAATTAAATATAATATTTTTGTCCTAAAAAGTGTAAAATTTTGGAAAAAAATTTTCACTAACATTAATTGTCACGCACAACGAGTCTGTGTGGAAAATGTCAGCTCGATTGGATCACGGGAAGTGGGTTAAAAAACGACCGAAAGATTTGCACGGTCGTAAGCAAGCAAGCGAACTTAATATAAAGGATTTAAAAAGCACATTTCCCTTATAGTTCAGACGATAAGGCATGGCATGGTTGGGAAATTTAATTAAGGGTCCATCATCGGTCGATTGATTTGTTTATTTCCCGCACGGCGAGCTTGCATCCACCGAAGTTGTTAGCAAAGTTTGTCTGAAAGAGGTTGGAAAGGTCCCCAACTTAATATTAATTACAGGGACTCCTCTACATGCGAACATTCGACTTGCGCAGTTTCAGAGATACGAACAAACCGGTCCGTATGTCGAGTTGCCTGTTCGGACCGAGAGTCGTAAATTCAACCGCCGTGCAATAGATGGCGGTGGTGGCATCTACATCTGCAGAACACAAAGAATCCGTGGCATCTACAGGAAATTATAGAAGCCATTCCCCGTGGCTGGGACAGTCTCACATTGACATGCAAATCTCTCACATTTACGTACAAATTCTTTCTCTAGCTCCACCCACTTACCTTTGGGTTGAGCCCATCAAAATCTGATAACACATTCCTGCGGAGGGAGCTGGTAGGAACGTTGGGTTGCCGTTCAATGGCCAGGGTCAACGGCGGCGTGGTGTATTCCGCAAATATGGCCGACTGAGGGTGGGCACAAGCCGGCGTGAGTAGGTGAAACGTTGAGTTTTATAAGGGCACCACGGGGTGACCAGCCCCTCCCCACCCAGCCCCACCCCTCACCCTCCCCATCCTCCCCACCCTCCCCTCTCCACTCAGCCCCACCCCTCCCATTTTTGGATGCACGACGGACGGACGGACACAATAATCCCTTGTGGGCTGGTGTCACCAGGACGTTCCTACCAGTATAAACTCTTGTTGCAGCAGCTCTTTCACCTATGTCGGCAGTTCTGCTGCTGTATCTGTTCCACCTGATGACGATCGCTTGTGTTGCAATCGAAATGTCGTGATTTCGTTTATTTTATACCTACGTGACTTTACCGAAAGAACCAAGGAGTACCATTCCCCGTGTTTGGTGTACACGCCGTACAACGTGTTTGGAATCGACAGGAGTAAAGTTGAACAAAATTGACTTCCGAACAGACCTTTGGAGCCTATTGCGTTCTTAAGTAGAGGATCCCCTGTACCAAAGAACCACGTGGAAGAACATCCAAGGAATCGCGTGTTAGAAGACCTCTTTATATCCCCTGGGCCATACCATTGGCAAAGCCGGAAGATGCGGTTCAGGGGGCTGTGGCCCAGAAGCTTCAGGTAGGAGATCTAAGCCGTGGCGGGGGGCTGGCGTTCTCTCTCTCACGAGGAGGTCTTTTGTGAATGAGTTTTTTTGTGATCTGTCATCGGAGTCAAAGTGACATCGTTGAAGTCTGCGGTGGCAGCGTAATAGAAGTTGACCAGCTGGAGAGACAAAGGCGGCCGGGCGTGGTTTGCTGGTCGTGTCGAGCCTTAATCGATGCTCGCCCAACAGCACTTGCACCCCCCCCAAACACCCCCCACCCCCGGCACGTTGTCAACGTTTCGCCCGTAAAGCGCCGTGGTGTTTGTCTTCCCACACACGAGGG